TCTTTTTTATCTTATCTTATAGAATTTATTATTAATTTTAATAGCTTGCTTAATAAATTTATTAATATTATCTAATTAATTTATTTTAATAAATTTTATTTATACTTCTTTTTTTAATATATTTTTAAATGCTGTAATAAGGACTTTATTATTATAGTTTAATATTATTATAATTTATTTAAATTGTACTGCTAATTATTATATTAATTTAATCTAGTATAATTATTATAATTATTTTTTAATATTTTATATTTTATTTATATTTTTAAATACTAATTTAAATTTTTTCTTAAATTATTTATAAGAGCTTAGTATTTTTATAATATTAATACTTTAATTTTTTTTTTCTTATAGTATTTATAAAGTACTAATTTAATTTATTAAAAAGCTTCTTTTATTAAATAAGTTATTATAAAGACTATCTTAGATTCTTTTATTTTTAATACTATACTATTAATTATAATATATATATCTATTTATATAAAGAAGTTCTTTAATTTTATTTATTTTTTACTAAAGACTTACAATTTTAATATTTTAAATTATTTTATTATTATAATTATTTTTAATTCTTTAATACATTTTTAAAATATTTTTTTATTAATAGAAGTTGCTGTTAATTTAATATTTAAAATAGTTATATTCCTTACTATCTTAAATTAGTTTATAGATATTTTTTTTCTTTTATCTAAACTTTCTTATCTCTTATAATAGTACTTATTCTATATTATTTTTTAAGGTTAAGATAATAGTTTTTTTATTATATGTCTAGATCTACTCTAATTATTACTAGTTATATTAAGATATAATATAATAAATAAACTATATAAAGATTTATAAGAATAACTTATTAATAAGATTAAATATAATTTAGACTTATTAATAATAAAGATTAATTGATTATAATTAAGATAAAAGAAGCACCTTAAAGTATTATAATATTTTAAGTAGGTTTGCCTTGCTGATTTTCTTAATATATAATCAAGTAATTTAGATTAAAGAGCTATATTAAGTAAGAACTAAGTATAAAAATAAATATATTTATATAATTAGCACTCTCTATACTTATTTTATACCTTAAAGTATATACTTGATTCTATACTTAGTTCCTACTTAATATAACTCTTTAATCTAAGTTACTTAATTATATACTAAAAGAGTCAGTAAGATAAATCTACTTAAAGTATTATAATACTTCAAAGTGCTTCTTCTATCTTAGTTATAATCAACCAACCTTTATTACCAATAAGTCTAAACTATATCTGATCTTATTGACAAGTTACCCTCATGAACCTTTGTGTGGTTCATCCATCGTATCGTACCTCGACACAACCAGTGACAACTAGGGTGGATCCAGGCGCGTGACACCTAGTGTCATGCATGTCATTTCATAACAATAGAACAAGATTTTTATCTATTAAAAGACTTGTAATAATACCCTTCACCATTACTATAATCTTATCTGGTAAAATTAGGCTTAATCAATAGCTTAGGCTTCAAGGAATAAACTACTAAATCTATAACTATTTCTGGCCAGATCTGGGCGCGCGATTTCAAAATTTTGATTTACATGGAGAGAGCTTTTTTTTTTTTTCTTAATATAATTCTAATTATAAAATTTTTCTTATTATATTATAGATTTGTTCTAATTTTAGATTATATTTTTTTATCTTTTAGATGAAAAGTTTAAAATATAATAAACATTTAAATATTAATTTTTTTCCTCTTTATATATTAAGACCAAAGAATAATGTAAGATTAAAATAAATTTTAATTTAGTATATAATCTAATTTTTGCTATATTCCTCTTTAGATAATTTTTCTTACAATATATTAAATATTACTAATATAGATAGGATATTATGCTTTATTAATATTAATTTATTTTATAAGCCTAGTAAATTACTGCTTATTTAATAATTAATAATTATTATATTATATATTATATGAATACTAAATCTTATAAAATCTTTTTAATAGTATAAAATATCTAATATTATACATTTTTATAACTTTAATAATATTAATCTTTTTACTGGAATCTAATAATGTTAAATATGCCATTATCTCATTAATTAGAGCTATTTTGGTAAAGTTATTTGAATATATAAAATTGATATAGTTTTGAGAAATTGTGCGGTAGATGGTAGCGTGCAGCAGGCGGTGAAGTACTGTATTCTTATTACTTTTTGTCTTTACTTGACTTTTTAATCTTAGAAGTCTATTAAATTCGCCTATTAATAGCTATCCTAGCTATACTCGATGGTAATCGAACCGAATTTCTAATATAAGAGTCGTCATATCCCTCTGGGAAATATTTAATCCTTTTCTCCTTCACAATATAATTGACAGCTACTACTTCTTGTTTAATTTTCCCTTTTTTAATTTTTTCCTGTGCCAGTCAACGGGCAGACACCTCGTGGCTCACTAAGGAAGCCAATACTTGCCCGAGAAACTCGATGTTCATTTCTTACCACAAATTTCGAAGGACAATTGGAAGGACAGGATAGTTCACCCATTCATGGCTTATACTCGTGTCCGATCTCTCCAAATGAATGAAGCTCTCATAATATTACAGGAGGCTCCCGCCCGCCTACGGCAACCTTCAAGGATTTCTCCAGCCTTCATGGTCTCCAACTCTGATTGTCTGTAGACTCTGTACAGGGTACCAATGAGTCTATTATTTATCATTCCATTCCAAAATCGAGTCTATATAAAAAATGTTGTTCCATATGTAGGCAAATTAACTAGAATTAGGCCTTACAATCTCCTGTGCAGACCCTCGTTTTGCTTTCCGCACGGCGGAGATACATTCTTTTCACCTCGTGAAACCAACAAAACCCTTGAAATCCTTGAATTGTCCACAGCAGCGATTTGACTGGGAATGCTCCAAACCAGCTGGAGGAGGGAGGGATGGTTCCTCTCCCTCTCGCTTCCCTAAAGAAACCCATGATGGCTGGGTCAAACAGGATCGCTTCCTGGTTCCTCCCTATTACACTTTGATTGCTCAGTTAGGAAATTATCTTCGCTGGCCAGTAGCAAATAGTAATGCACATGAAGAGTCCAAACACTGGTGTATATAGAAAATGATCTCATGTTGATTTCACAAAGAATAACTAAAAACTGCTTTCTGTGCAGGTCTGGCAATACCAAGTTATCCACTCAGGTGCTCCTTGGTCATCCGTGGGTGCTGTTTACAGGCAATTCCACAAACATATTGACTGGTCCCAGAGGTATATAAAGCGCCGTCCATACACGTCTCTTGCCTCGACAGACTTCACAAAAATACGACTACTCAGTCTCGCTTCACCACACAACTGTTTCATCGCTATATCATCGCTTCCTTTATTTGCCTGTATCTCGTATCATTCAATATTCCCGATAAAATTCTATGGAGATCCCACTTCGGCATTTTTGGCCGCATTCGAGTTATGATCAGGTCCATTCGAGGTTGAGAACATTTCAAGCTAGCAGTTCCCCCCGACGAATCAATGAACTTGCCCATCCCACCAATAATAAAATAATTAAACCGATGGATACTTCTGCAACAATCTGCGTGGGAGGCGCATCAATCGCAGGCGAGAGAAGAGTTATATTAAAGCCACGGTTGGTTCTTTGTTGCTAGATCTCACTGCCCGTGAGCGTCCAGCCATGCATTTAATGGTCTTCACACCACATACTGATCCAACAGTGCACCCTGCTTATCCGAGTAACTGGATATCTATACCGCCGGAAGCTGTTTTACTGTATGATTTATCAGAGAGTAAGCTAGATTCAGTCAAGAATTTGGAACCTGAAGATGAACATCGAAGAAAAAGGAATATATGATTATGCGTACCTGTTGAAAGCTTGCCACTCCATTGGATCTCTCTTATTATCATAGACGACGACATCATTGCTATGGATGGATGGTATCATCAGGCGCTTCAGTCTCTAAAAGATGCTGAAGAAGAAACACGTCGGATTGGCACATCAAATTGTTCGTGTCTCCGCATTCACTCTGATTCTTGGGATTTCTAATTGTACTTGAGGCGTTCACTAATACGATCGAACGCAGACATTTATCTCCGCTTATTCTATACCCACAAACTTTGGGCTGGAATAAGGAAGGAGAATTTTGCCTACACAGTGTTTTCAATTATCGCCATAACGACTGTTAGACTCTTGCTACTAATGACTCGCCGCTGTCTCACTCAAACGAATAGATTTCTTTCGAACAAGGCCACTAGTATCGTCTGCTTCGTCTTTTATGTCCCTTAATATTATGTTATTTTTTTGCCACAGGTCGGGCTTCCATACTTTCTATTTCAGGGGGACTTCATATAAAAACGAGGGGCTGCTGTTCCCAGGCACAAGTGTTTCCCAGAGGTCGAGCCTTAGGTGTGGTATATTGGCGCGAGTCCTAGGAAATAGGATATGCGGACTCATTACTAGAAGAGTATGCCAATGCACACGATGAATTTTGATGGGCAGTGACCCGAGTCTATTCCAACCTATTGTGTCAACGAGTACTAAAGACGACCTTAAAGGAGGCAAGATGATTGCCAAATCGGTTTAAAATTTTCGATTTTGAGCCAAATAGTCCTGTCGTATTATAAGGGGAGCATGAGCTTGCTGTAGTAGGTCGTAATTGATATTTTCAACTATAGCATAATATGCCTTATAAAATATTTAATTACACTATTGTGCATATCTACAATAAGAATTTCGCTTTTCAGTACGGTATACAGGTTAGGGTTAGAGATGATGGCTGTGGGGCAAGGAGCTATCTGAAAGGGGACTAGCGTTCATCCTATGCAATCATTGCAATGCATTATGTGGCATCTAAAGTTAGCCAGATCAAGCTATCTATTGTGCTCGACTACGACCTTAACCATCACAATCAATCTTCATGTCCGCCTCGAAATCAATCCTCCAACATATTAATTAGCACTTGATTGTTATCCTTGACTATGGTGAGATCGCAAACGTCGACATTAAACCGCCATGTCTTACTAAACATGCCCATCTTTTACCAGGCACAAACACCGAGACAAAAGAAAGCAAACGAGAAGTTTGCGAAGAACGAGGCCGCGAAACGAGGGAAGTCACAGACTGCTGTCAAGAAGAATCCCAAACAAAAGCCCACAGTGTCAACTGGGTGGATAGGTCCGTGAACACCCAATAACCACCAACCCACATGCACAAATACTCTTCTCAGGACAAATTACTAAAAAAAAACTTCAAACTTTAGTATTACTTGCGTTCGTCGTTTGCGGTGGATTGGTTTTCGAGCTCCTGAAGGTCGTTCCGGAAATATGGTCAGCAATTGTGTCTGTGTTTAGGCGGTGATCGAATTCTTCCTGGTTTATCAGCATCATAGAAGAAAGGGGGTTTGCATCCACATGAATTCGTCGTGATCTTTTCATTGTCGTGGCATGTGTTCATATTATTATCTTGATTTGGGTCGCAGTTTATGTTTCAGTATTATTATCATTGGTTTCATGTGTTGAAGAGCGTGTTTTGAGTATTCTATTCACTACTATACCCCCCGTCTCCCCTGCTGTACAATTGGGCGCCCTATCAAAATTACTCAAGACGATTTTGTTGCCTTACCAGACTCCTCGTCGGGGCGCACTTTCTTCTTCTTCTTTTTCACAGCTTTCTTAATAAGTTTACCGTCGGAAGGTAATCCCTGAATGTCTGCTCGCTCAGACGCTCTTTGCATTTCCAGCCGAACCCGTTCAATTTTCCGCATGGCCTCCGCCATTTCATCTTCCTCTTTCTGAACAGGCTGAAGTGTATTCAGTTGCGTTTGATGTCCCTCGCCCAGGGCCAACCGTTCAATGGCGCTGGAGTCGACTTGTAGAAGACTTCGACCGACGTTATTGCTAGAATCCTTCTGATTTATGGGCTCGGTAGACTGGGAACCATGGAAATCGAGTGTCTCATTTGCCGCGATTTGAAACCTGCCGGGCCTGGTGCGCATCTCGGCATTTTTATTGCCCCCAACAGAACTAGTCGGTTCACCTAAGCTTGTAAGCTCAACAATGGGGATAGAATCTATATCCAGTTGTTCGTTATTTGACATGTCATGGTCTTGATAGTTGTGTATTGGTGAAGGAAATTCTTCGTTGTATCCAATGTAGAAAGGGTCATCCTTGTTGCGTTCCCGGCGACCAAGACGTCGTTCTGCAATCTTGGCTGTCTTTCCAATCACGAAATCTGCATTTTCCAGGTTGGCCTCGACCTGCATGTCTAGACCAAAGTCTTGCTGAATGGCCGATGAGCCGTTAGAAATATAATAGAAGCCTTTGATGCTGCTATACGCTTCCGCCTCGATCCATAAGTCATAAGCGTCATCGCCAGATTTCGGTAGTGTATGGGTTATCGACTCATTGAGGTCCAAGTTTTCAGGTAGAGGAACCCTCTTTTGTGCGTCTGCTGCTACAGAATTCAGTTCTAAGCCCCTAAAGAGACTAGGAATAACTTCTGCAAGCAAAAAGGGCAATTCATGAGAATCTGCCTGTTGTGGTTGTAATGCTTCCTTTGCCAAACGGAGAAGTTCGAGGAATTCAGTTGCTCGTTCTTGTACATCCAAGTCTGGGTGAGCTCCTAGGCCCTCCAAGAAGGTTATTAGCCGCGCAAGCATTACGGAATACTGCATGTAGCTGCCGGCTGACCACTTATGTTCAGAAGAAATCAATCGCGAGAACACCTTAGGTACTGCTTGTAGGTAGAGAGTAAGAACCGTCCCTGGCAGCGATTGGTTGTTCGGATTGGTAAGTATGTTCAGAATACGATCAGGTAAAGATGAGAGTTGTGAGAATTCCCCAACTATCCATGCAGCAGATCCGAGCGCTCCAACATAGGCAGTTGATACGGTATTATGCAATTGCAGATTATCAACCAACAAAAGGAATGACTCTGCCGTTCTAGTAGCCTTCTCTCGGACAGCTTTCACGCGTACTGCAACACTCCGTAGTTCTGCACCGATCTTGACTGAAATACTTGTATCTGGGCTATAATTCGAGAACTCGTCACCCGAAGAATGTCTTCCCACAATGAACTGGGGCAAAAGTCTCAGCAATTGCGATAACACATCAACATACCACTCGAAGTCAACAATATCCGAATAATTGTCACGAGAGCAAATGTCTATAATGCGAACGACAACCTCGATCTTGTAATCAGCCGGCAAATCAAGTTGTGCTTGATTTTCATGAGTCGAATACATTGGATCTGCAGTATCAAGTCTCTGCCAGTTGACCTTGTTACCACCAGCACTTCCGATTGCGTCAATGCCTGCGTTGTATTGATAGTCCAACTTTTGGCCGTTGAGTAATTGCTTTATGAGGCGATTGACAATATCTTGCAACGTTTCAGAGGTAGCCATTTGCACTGCGAGGTCGAGCGCCTGGAGCCTTATGGAAATGTCCGGGTCATCCAAACAGTCCAAGATCACTTTTTGTTGCATTGCCACGAGGTGAGGATGAGAAATGACAATACGATTGAACGCAAGAAGAGCAACGTATCTCACTATGTAACTCGATAACATGTTAAAGCTTAGGTTCTGGATATAGATTTTCAGATAGGAAGACAACGAAGATTCACTTACAATTAGGGTCGACATCCATAACAACCATGCCTCTGAGTTTTGTCACACATAAGCCTGCAATCTCATCCCCTTCTTGTGTTCCTTCAGCTTCACTCAAAATACCTCCCTGGATAATACCGTTTATACATTCGTAGAGAAGAGACATCGCGGTTGTTGTTTGGATAATGCCTATCAAAGGCCGAAGTAACTTTCGCACGAGGCGAGGCTCTAGAGGGGTGAGAGTTGCAAACTAGGAAGGTTAGCATAATGTTATCGCCAGGTATGCAACTGGCATGGCTAAACTGACCAACTTGATGATTTTAATTGCCATCCAGTTATTACCACTGTCCACCAGTAGTTCAAAAAACCTCGGGGCTAAAGGTAAGAAGTCATGGGGTCTCCTCCAACCGAGCTCACATATGACGTTCATAACGGCCGAAATGACGCTACTGTCTTCATTATCGTCCATGAGACGTTCCTTGATCTTCGGCCAAGCTAACCTTAAGGTATCGGGGTAGACCAATGCGAGGCGGTAAAGTACAACCACTGATTTCTTGCGAACGGCCGTATTGGAATGAGAAAGCCGAGGGAGGAGATCATTGAGAAGCGACATGGCTAGTGAGGGTGTTACAATATGTGGCAGTGTCGCGAGTGGTAATGACAAGTTCACCACAGATGACGAGACGATATCCTAGTTTCGTACATGAGATTTTACTGTTTAAGTTGTTTGTTCGCAAGCTGACTTACTTTTTTTAGTAAATTAGTTGCTAGCATTAATACCTCTGTCTCGGCGCGAAAGCTTTGAGCTGCAGCCAAGTAGCCAACCCGCTTTTGCAAGTGTTTAGATGAAGACATCACCTCAAGGACATGAAAGGATGCCCAAGACATGTCATATCCAAACATCTCGAGGTATATCAACTTTAGAAGGGCTATGGTTTTTTTATCTGTCAGGCTGTTAGCAAAAATAACAACCAAGCTGAAAAACACATGATTACAAACCCATGTCCTGTGATTTAATTTCAGACTTGCATTCCTTCAGGCTGTTCTGGATATATTCAGCCTCGCTCCCTTTGTGGCTTCGAAGGCCTCTAATGAGGTCATAAAGCGATTTTTCAAACCTATTTCGTCAGTTTGCATCACATGAAAAAGTCCAGGACCTGATTACGAACATGGTTGATTAGATGTCATTTCAGCGTATGCCTCATCAAGTGTCGTGAAGTCTCGCAATCCACAAGGACCCCGCAGCTTTATCTAGCGTTGTTCAGGACGGGTGGCTAATGATGTAGTGAAATGCCGCCAAGAGGAGGATGCTATTCCGTTCTCTTCATGTGAATCACGAATGGATGTAGGTGAGCCGTTCGGAGTCCATCTTTTTGTTGCTCAAGCCGGAAAGTGACGAACAACCGCGGGAGATTCAGTCTACATCATCGACCGACGGCTTCCTTTTGATTGGTCGCTGCTTGACATTCTGCCAACAGTTCCTCACCGCCAACTAGCGAAAGACCAGAGCTCTCCGACTCAAGCTGGCCTTCGAATGGAAACATGACTTTGTTCTCTCGTCGCTTTTGGGAAATTTCTTCTACCTGAGAAGTGCGCCATAGAGCTCACAGATGGCGACTGTCAAGGGAAATCTTGAGCGAGGGCTGCAACTGTCAGACCCGTCCGCTGCTCTCCACCTCTCGCAGCAGGCCTCCGCGTTACTGACGAAACAGCAATCTTCCTCGGCTTTCCCGTTTGCTGCTTTCGAAGATCCAGATCAATGGCTTGAGCTCGAGCAGCTCTTCTTAGCCTTTTTACGGACCGGTGATGACAAGTCCGCGCATCTTTGTCTCGACCGCCTGGCAGGGCGGTTTGGTCCAGCGAATGAACGAATCATGGGCCTAAGGGGTCTTTACCAGGAAGCGACGGCCAAGGACGGCCCATCTCTCGAAGCGATTCTACGAGACTATAATAAGATTCTTTCGGAGAATGGCGTTAATGTGGTGAGTTCCCTGTCAATTGATTGGATTGTGACTGTTGGACGAAATTTCCACGCTAAGAGAATGCTCGACAGCCCGTTTCGAAGCGACGCATTGCCCTCCTACGCTCTTTAAACAGACACGAAGAAGCTATATCTGCAATGGTGGACTACCTTGAAGCTTTCCCAACAGACGCTGAGGCATGGTGTGAGCTTGCAGACTTGTATCAATCCAATGCTATGAGTGCGCAGGCGATATTTAGTCTTGAAGAAGCATTGCTTGTTACGCCGAACTCATGGAATGTGAGTTTGTGGGACCGGCTCGACTTGAGGGGTATGTTAACTTTTGTGAATAGTTACATGCCCGACTTGGTGAGATCCTTTACATATCCACAACGTCGGCCGATCGAAGTACTTCGTCTACGCAGACCCTATCCCGGTCTATCAAACATTTTCTACGGAGTCTTGAGTTATGCGACGATTATGTAAGAGGCTTGTACGGCGTCATATTGGTATGATTTCGCTCCTCTGATTCTTTGGGGCATCAGGATAACTTGCCCAGAACCGAATGCTGACTCACTTATTAGACAACTTCGGAACTTATCAAACACATTAAAGATCTGCCAGAGCACAATATTAGCGGTGAAGTTCCGCCTATAAAGACTCTCGAGGATATCGAAGCCATGGCCAGACTGAAAGCAGAGAAGCTTATCCAATCACAGCAATCGGCCTCTCGTCACCAAACAACACTAGAGGGCCTCCAATCCTTGCAAGAGCTAGTGCGGCGGACATAGAAACAATTTCACTGTCGGTCTGAGTAGGCTTTTTTTTGTCTCAACTCATGCAACTTAATCTATTTCAAGTTCTTCAGGGCAAGTCTACGTATCTGCCTATTGGACAAATTTCGATCTATCGATCTAGTCATCGTCGAGACGACTATTAGTTGCATCCAATCGTAGAAACTTGTAACTTCCCCTGATTTTATAGCCAATGATGGCTTGACTTTGCTTGGCCGTATTGCACTTACGTTTGCTAAGCTGAACTAGCCCTATGACACGTATCAATTACCACCCAGCCAATCTCTGTGCAAACTGCGTCACTCTGGACTTCTGAAGACCAGGGTCTGGGAAGAAAAAAAAATTTACAGAACGCCACTGTTTAGAACGTAGATCGATTGTACTGTTGCGTCGACGTAGCCAATAAGTTGCCCGACTCTATAGGACATTAGCCAGAAAGATCTGTTTCTTGGGCATCTGATTCGGAAATATTTGACTGACCCTATGTAAACATTGAATTGAACGATTCCGCTAGATAAATTTTATTGCTCGCATGATGGATCACACAAAAATACCCTAGTAAGCATCTAACTAGCTAGACTTTGCTCGCCTAACCGCTAGTTATAACTACATAGTATATTTCACCAGGAATTGTAATTAGGTTGATATTAGAGACGTGACGAGCGGGCTACCTAGGTATTGTTCTCTGCGCTCCCCCTTTTTTGTCAGCCCCATGCCCAAACGACGTGTAATTATTGAGGCAATCGATGACTCAATAATAACCAGTCAAGATTTGCGTACGCATCCTCAACCCACGTTGGACCAAAGCCGGTCAAAGTGGGCTGGGTCGGTTCGGGCAGCGATGTATGTGTATGACAGATACTGTCGCGAATGGAGTCGCTTGGAAATATCACTATTGTGCGTTTTTTCACGCGACCTCCTCTCCCCGGGTTCGCGCTCTGTGTGCTTCCATCCACCGCCTGACGCAACTCAGGCTCGCTCTCCTGTGCTTCGTAGAGCCAGAATAAAGCCATGTATGTCGTAGATCGGATAGATAAATAACCCCTAGTACGTAACACACGATACAGTACGTACGGTACGCAATGTTTGTTTAGATCCCGCCCCTCCCTTCCTCATCCAGGCCTGTGCCCAACTCTGCCATCATTCAGGCAGGCACTTCATTACATCTTCGGATCCCAATCCATGCCTTCCACAAAATTCTGCTCGAAGAGGCGAAATCAGGTACACACAGCCTAATATAATGTACCTTGCATCGGCTCTTCTTCTATTAATTTTCTCCTCCATCATTCCTTGGGAGCATGCTAAGGCGCTTGCTTTTACTATGCAGGGCATACTTGACACTTCTTCAATCTCTGTTCATTGACTGTCTAGCATCCATCTGCATAACTTACCGTCATAATCTCATTCACGCACAACCAGCAAACAAGCAGAAAAAAAGAATCCTCCAGAGTCCCGGCAGATTCAAATAACTCTATAGGAACTTGACCCCTCCCAAACTCTTATCGATGCCGTGAGTTGCCCGTGAAAGAATTACAATTTGAGCTTCTGCTAAGTTGTTTTTGCTTAAAAAAAAGGTTCGATATTAGAATCAATTCAGACGAAGATTTCGAATCGGAGCACTCGTCACTGAGTGACGACGAAGGTTCCTCTGGCGTGAACGTGTCTTCCCCGTCTGCCGCAGGCAGTCAAGACTATTATGATGGCGAATGGGCGCATTTATCATATCCTGATGAGATAGGCTCCGATTCGGCGTCTCGGACACGAGCTTCACGCCGTCATATCCATCATGCCGGGCCTTCTTCCCGCTCCAGATCAGGTCGTCGATACTCGCGGCGAGATATCCCCCCCCAAAGAGAAGCCTTTACCCAGAGGACACGCCGCAATCGGTCTCCGGAATCTCCTGAAAGTGAGGAGACCGACGAGGAATTTCTAGAGAATTATAGCCGACACCAACCGGACAGGAGATATTGGCACCCTGTGGCACCCGCACCTGTTGGTGGCTACCCCCCGAGTTCATCTTCTGGGCCATCCTACAATGTATTTCCGAATGGACTTGGACACCCACATCCACCATATCCTCACGCTGCCCCTCCGCATCAGCCTTCAGATCAATTAGTGAGATTTGGACACGCCGTTCACATGGGTCGCCCGGGCCAATACGGTAACACATCGCCGCCTTATGGCTACGGTGGGTCACCATTCCCTCCGCCACACCATGCAGCTATGCCGCCATTTTATGGTAATGATCACTTGCCTGGACATCCGGGCCCTCATCCCACTCATCATCTACATCAGTCTCACAGTAGAAGTCGGGGACAAAGCCCGCCGGAGCCACCAGTTCCACAACTGTCCCACGTTCCACCTCCCCCCAACCCACACTATGCCCCCTTCGGCCCACCTGACCTGATTCCATACAGCGCAAACGGTTACATGCCCTATAACCCAAACTTTCCACCTATCCCGGGTGGGATGATCAACCATCAGTTATTTGGTCAACTGCCTCGCCAGCCCGAATCTCCTTCGACGGCTTCGCAACCAGACACATCAAAAGACGACGCTATTGCTAGGTTGGAACAGCTCATAAAGGACGAACGAGCAGAACGAGAGGCGAGGGATGCAGCACGTGAAGCAGCTCTGGAGAAAGCGGCCGCAGATAAACTGGCAGCGGAAGAAAAGGCGGCAGCAGAAAAGAAAATCGCCGATGAAGCAGCAGCAAAAGCCACGGCTATAGCAAAGGAAGAGGCGGCAATCGCAGCTGCGGAAGAGGCTATCAGAGCCCAGAAAGCTGCCGAGGAGTTAGCAGCGAACGCGGCAGCGGAGGCTAAGAAGGCAGCGGAGGAAGCTGCAGCAGCGGCAGCTGCAGAGGCTAAAAAGGCGACGGATGAGGCAGCTGCCGCCGCAGCTGAGGAGGCCAAAAAAGCGACAGAAGAAGCTGCCGCTGCCGCTGCTGCAGAGGCAAAAAAGGCAGCAGAGGAGGCAGCAGCAAAGCCTCCACCAGAGAAGAAGAAGCCCATCAAATTTAAAGATGCTGTCGGAAGAAAATTCAGTTTTCCCTTTCACTTATGCAGCACATGGCAGGTAGGTATTCCTGCATCTATTGGCGCCAAAACGTATTCTGACTACTTTGCTAGGGAATGGAGGAACTCATTCGCCAGGCGTTCCTTCATGTCGAGGTTATAGGGCCTCATGTTGCGGAGGGGCATTATGACCTTGTTGGTCCTAATGGCGACATTATCTTGCCGCAGGTTTGGGAAACTGTCGTCGAACCTGACTGGACTGTAACCATGCATATGTGGCCGATACCAGAACCGAAAGAACCTGACCCCCCACCGCCTCCTCCGCCCGCTGAGGAACCTGCTCCACCGCCACCAGCCCCAGAACCTAAGAAGAAACCGGACCCTGCACCGAAAAAACCAAAGCCTATTAGGGGCGATCCTGGAGCGTTTACACTATGGATGATGGGCAATACTCGGCCAAAGTCGAACACCAAGGCTTTAAAAGTGGTAAAAAAGCCTGAGATCATACAACAGAACGGGTAAGATTATAGAGTCATGCGATTCTGCGATTGCGAGACACCAGCCATGGGTTTGACCAGCGAGGAACAAACTTGCCGCGGCTCGACTTTTCTGTCAGCGCCGAGTTTGATCTGTCAAATTGGATCAAATCATCGGATGAAACGCTATCTCGCGCGCTTCACCGTGTTGTATATTTTAGGGAGGCATGGCTTTTCCTCTCGATGCATTCGGGATTGGTTTCTCATGTCTCTTATCTTTGTTCTGAAAGCATCATGTGATAGTATTTTTTTTTTTTTTTTGAGAGAGAGAGGGTTCGCAGTATCTTCAGGCGTGTACTCGGTTTCTTGGTATTCGGGTCGCTTGATACCCCTGGTCCATCAGATGGTGATGATAGATAATTAGTGAAGCGTTTTTTTATGAAGAATTTCATTTCTTTTTCCTAATGATTTTACAGTCCACTCCATCTACCTATTCTACCCAGTGTAACTCAAGGCTCAAGGCAACCTTGGCTACTGGATCTTACCGTGCCGTACCGTGCGGATCTCGGGTAGGAGATATACCTAAATTTAGGGCTATCCATCAACTCTATTTCAACCAACATACATCACGTCATTGACTGATATTGTAAACGTGCTGTGGCAGTATATATATTATTGTCATGTTTAAGCCAAGACAAATTTGAATCAGATGCAATTCTTTGCAGTCATTCCATCTTGATGTTGTTCCTATAATCACCGGTGTGGAAGTAACGGCTTCCATTTTTCCATGACAGGGTCATCTCCATCCAGCAAATCTGCGGAAGCATGCCTAGGTTGTATTCTCTCTGCCTCTGGGGTAAGGTGGTCTGTTCCCCATGTTGGCGGTTGAGGAGGCAAACGAGGTTTGAGCTCTCGATCCCTATTATTAGCGGCACCTACGTCACTATACTGGGCCATGTTTGTCTTTGCTGGAGTAAGTTGTTGAATTAATGTGGTGGGTTTTTGCGGTCGTTGTGGTTTCGCAATTGACCAGTTTGAGCTTGCTACTTCAAGTAAGGTTTGAGGTTTGATCCATTCGGGTTCATTACTTTGGGCAAATGGATTTGATCTGCCAATGATGTTGGGCATGTCTCCTTGTGTGGAAGGTTTGATATTCGACCGCGCGCCAGGACCTGTAATTGCGTCAGTAACCATGAGGGAGGCTTAACTGAACCAGGAGGTTTACCATTGTCAAGCCACCACTTTTGACGATCCGAACTTGGTGGAGGTAAGCCAAGAGAGTTAGCGGAAGGAAGAAGAACATCGTCATCGTTATCATCATCAAGTAAATTCCCAGATGCAATCGTTCTAAGCTTAGAACGATGTTGATCATAGAGTACTCGATTCAACTTTTCTTTCTGGGTTTCATCGACAATGCTGATAGCGCAGTCAAATAAGGATAGGACAGGTCGATGGTCAGATGTCTTAAGGTTCGCTGAACGATAATCGATTTGTTTTAAACCTGCTCCTTTCCAAAGCACTCGATCACACCATGCTGGGATTCGACTTTTGTCACTGTACATGCACATTAGAATGGAGAAAGGTTGATTATACATAAGATCATCTCTACTTACGAAGTATCGTAATTGTCAGTTCCAATGTCATACTTATATGTTGGGGCGAATTTTATTATTCCTTCAGAGTAAAATGGAAATGTCCTTCCCGCCAACATTTGTAAGTTTAACTAGATACCCACATTAGAAAATCATCCTTGACTGCGGAGGTTCTATATCCTACCTGATCATGCTCATATAGTTTGCCCAGTTCACCCAACTTGATCAACTGTCGTACTTCTTGGTTTTCAAGACCAATCCGATAATTAAAGTCACCCAACCATATGATCGCGTCATGATCTTCGATAGATCTATTATATCGGAATCTCATCCCACTGCTAATTGTCGCATAGTCCTTGTTCCTTTCATCGTAGTTGGCAAACCCTGCTGCTAGATGGGCCGTCACGAAGCAGATCCGGGTATTCGAAAATTCCAGACGAATTGCACAGCCTCCTTTATTTCCAGCCATTCCTGATAGGCCAGTCTTGATAGTGTTGTTAGTGAACATAGTAAAGAATCTAGGATAAGATTTACTTGCCTTTTTGACACTGCCTTCCACATTCTTAATGTCATTGAGAGCATCTTCTCTCACATACACGAGAATAGCGGCACCGACAAGTTGACCGCTTCTTAGTAGCACATACCTATTGGTTTTAAACCGATCTGCGTACTCATTTAAACAGTCCTTGACAGAATTCTCCCATGTCATTCGCGGCAAGGGGTCGGTTGACATGATTTGCTGAGGGCTCAGTTCCACGATTTCCTGGAACGCAACAACCACTAGTGTAGGATTATCTCCCTCCTTTTCACGAAGGCCTAGTAACCATGGGGATAGATCTGTTGTAGTACCATCGCCTCGACCGTTCACATTAAAAGTTCCTGCCCAAATTCTGATGTTTCTCGAAGACGTATATTCTTCGGCTCGACGCTCAAGTTCTGCCATGACAATATCATTGACGGGATCGTAAAGTTCAACCGGCACTTGATTATTCAGGCGGCCCAGAAGGATATCAATGGTATTCTGCCTGGCCTTGTCGGCGAAATTATTGACGTACAAACGGGTGGCGCTTTTGCGTGCATCCGCAAAAGCACCGGCCAGCGACATTTTCCCATGTCTTGTAAATGATGACTTCAGAGCGCCAGTTCCTGCATAGACTTTGGACAGAGCATCTCCGTTGTCGGCCCATAGAGCAGAATGTCTCATTCGAATTTCAGGTACCATGTTGCCCCCCCTTTGGTTAAGATATAATTCCAAAGCCATTAGACTAATAATAGTCTGTACAAGATTAGTCCTGTCAAGGCAGTCAAGACAATTCGTTCTGAAAATTCCTTCTTGTTGCAAAATGACCCTGGGAACATCTCTTTGGTTTCGATCAGACAGCGAAGATTTTTCCGGATTATTGCCCTCAATTAGAGAGTAACCAAACCCGTTGAGGGCACGTTTTATCAGATCATAGATCAGATTGCTAACCTCATATCCTAATGGCCCTCTTGCCTCCGCATGAAAATCAAAATCGGTCATTCGGAGTAGGTGATGGTCGAAAGACGTGGAGGATTCGCCTTGGTGCGCAGCAGATCTTTTGGCAACGTGTTTACGGAACTCTGACGACAATGCTAATTCGCCATTCTTTGTATCACTCAAAAGATTCATGATATGGACAGCGCCATAATTGAGCTCCAGGAAATCAAAATGTTTCTCAAAAGCGTTTTGCGTAGCCTCAAATGAGCGAGAGATTTCAATCTTTTGTTGTCCAGGAATTAGACCTGGTGTCTGCTCCCAAAATATTGGCACAGAACCCCGTGCTTGTGTATAAGAGAACGTGATGCCTGGAGGGCTCCAAAGGATGGTGTCTGTTTCTACAAAGTTTGAAACGTTCCCATCGTCGTCAATACCCCGCGAATTGAATCTGGTGCCAGCACGACGAGAAGATAGTCGTGAGATTATAGTTAGACTTGATGGCAAATTTGATGCCCAATGAGATACTTGAAGTGCAGAAGCAGGTATTGCCAATGTACCAGCAAAACCCCTGATTACCGATGTCAAGATGCGAGAACCATCAAGTTTCTCTTGTTCGTGCTTTGACAGTCGACTTCGAAAGAGTAAGAGAGGGTCTATCATGTAAGAGTTCCAAAGCATGTCTTTATTTAAGCCATCAATACCAAAAGTCGACGAGGTAGTTGACCTAAATTTGCTTAGCCGAATCCTACAAAGAATGAAATATATTTCACCACATACCTGTCTTGAATACGGTCCGTAAGATTGAAATCACGACTGTAATAGAAGCTGCCGTCGCTCAACAATCTTTTCAAGGCGAGAAAAGGGTGATCCGTGATTACATCTTTGTGATCATTCAACTCATCGGAACCGATGTCTTCCGCAGCAAAGCGGGATTGTGTTTGATAATCTTCTCCGTATTCATAGTCTGATCGATTGAGACAGTCTGCACAACGTTAATACTCTCCTATTCTTGTTTGCGACTCAAGGGAAAATACAGACAGAAATCCACATTTTCAATCTTCAGGACCGTCTCCCCAGGTCGTACGGTAGCGGCTCGAGAAGAGCTAGTCACGACACAAATAAAGACGTCGTTATTCAAAGAAATCAAGCCAAGGGTTCCCCAACCCTCTCCCAAAACTCGATAACCTTGCAAATCCTCTGATGAACGGAAGAACGCTTCTAAGAGATAGCGGTTTGCATCCTGATTTTTCGCTGGCCCGCTGCGGGTGTTATCTACATGAGGCTGGGTGATTTCAAGAACACAATCGTTCGTAGCGAGCGCAATAGACCGTCGAGGCTGATCTCGACAGAGCACACGCAGAGTCGACATTGCTCTTGATGATGCTAGCGCACATTGCAATACAAAAGATTGTTTATATTGGGTGTATATTGCAAGAGCCTTGGTTTAGCAGCTGAGTCCTCTGTGGTTGTTATCGATAACGGCTTAGTTTCACAGCTGGCCTCGCTTGGGAATTAATCACCAGCGGAACGACCGGATTGTTGTCGACCACAGGTTCCGATTTTGGAGTCTGACAAGCAGAGAGTGCTGTATACAGATCGAATACTTATGCACTGCAAGAAGAATGCCATAGATAGTGCAGGCCAACTAGAGAGGCCGCGTCTGTCGCCAGCATTAATCACGTGATCAAACTAGTACAATACAAGTATAGCCTCACAAATCTGATAAGGCCTACCCAAGTTTTATCTTCAGCCGAACAAAAAAAAAAAAAAAAAAAATAGACCGCCTGACTGCGCAGACAGGGGTAGATTTTGATACATATCCATATCTCTGCTTATATTATATTTTTATTGGGATACTCATGGGTCTTGCAGCCCCTCGCAAGTAAGTATTGCAGACTAAATCATCGTCAAAATTATATCTATTGACACCGCAAACTTCAAAGGAGGGTCAAGATCTCTCACGATCCCAATAACACAAAATGGGCCCAATCGACAAGCGGCTTCGGCCATAAAATAATGACTTCTCAAGGTTGGACGCCTGGAAGTTTTCTCGGCGCTCGCAACGCATCCCATTCCGACACCTTTACCGCTGCTAGTGCCTCTCATATCAGGGTGACTCTGAAGGACGATACGCTTGGGTTGGGTGCTCGACCTCCAAAATTGGGAAATGAAAACGTGGCAGCCATAGATGCTTTTCAAGGTCTTTTGGGCCGCTTGAATGGAAAGAGCGACACTCAATTGGAAGAGGAACAACGCAAGCGCGACGATACTAGGCTGGCTCTGTACGCGCGAACCAAATGGCAGACTGTCACCTTCGTCAGTGGAGGCTATTTAGTCCAGGAGAAGCCTGATTCTGCAAAGAACAAAGGCAAGAAGAACATGAGCGACATTTCGGATGACACAAGTGCGGAGGACAAGTCTATTAACTCAAGCGATGACAATGCGCATAATAGGGATACTCAAGCAGAAGATCAAGAGTCAAACTTAAAGGCTGAGTCCAAAAAGACAAGAATGAAGGGCGTGGATGGAAAGGACGTGAAGGACATGAAGGATAAGAAAGAGAAGAAGAAGAAGGAAAAAGAAGCCAAGGAAGAGAAGAAGGGCAAGAATGATAAGAGGGTGAAGAAGGAGAAGAAGGACAAGAAAGAAAAGAAAGAAAAGAAGAGGGAGAAGGCCGAAAAGGAAAAGAAAGACAGCTCTAGAAAACGACGACGTACGGACGCAGAAGAGGAAGATTCGGAAAGTTCTGACTCTTCAAGCCAAAACCAGCTTGATAATGAAGTAGCGTCGAAGAAAGCTACTAGCTTACGAAGACAGATACCCCATTGGAGACATTCATTACGCGGTCGTCACATTCAACAAAAGAAAATGGCTGTGATGGATGACCGGTCATTAGGCGAAGTTAGTATCCAACTCAACCGTCTCTGACAAGGCATATTCCATGTCCGTGTGCTAACCTGATTCTAGATTTTCATGATCAAGACTTGATATAAGAAAGGATATATAGATTACAACTCGGACAGCATTCTAGTCTAAATGACGCAGGTGAAAGGAGACGACTGATATGCTCTGCACATAGAAAGAAAGCTTGGCCATTTAGCTAGCTATATAGTCAGCCCATTAGAGATATATAGTTCTTTTCCCCATAGGAATTCCGGTTTTCACGCGATGTTCTCGTGGCATTTTTAACAGGCAGACCGTCAATCAATGGCTGGGGCTCGGGAAAGCCGCAGCGACCCGAAGGTCTCAGCGTGACAGCGTTGCGGGAAAGTCTTGGCGCTGGTTTTGTAACGTCATCGCTGCTTAGGATTATTTACTGCATCCTCCTTCTGACAACATCCATCCATCCTTATATATACCCTTACTTCGATGTAGATTGAATTTTCAAAGCTCCTACTCTAGAAGTACGCTAGCTAACTGCCATGTCCATAAGGATATTGAGAATCACCTCACCTGTCTGAAAACTGGGCTGCCATGCCTGTCGGTAACAAGGCCCAACATGACGGCCTTGCAACATCTGTCAACGACAAGAAAACCAATGGCACTACTCAAAAACATGGGTAAGTATGGTTTGGGAGCTTCGGCTTCAAACCTCTCTCTGCCGATTTAGTTGGCTAATATGTGTCAATGTTAGCATTCGATGGGCCCCCCTGAACATTGGCGTCGAAAGGCGCCTACAGACCTTCGTCGTCCTGTGCCATACTCTGACGATTATTATCCTCTTGACGCTGTTTTTCTTTGTCTGTGCAATGCCATTGTCTTGGCCCCTGCTTCTCCCATACCTTGTCTACATATCTCTTTTCTCCAACAAAGCAACATCGGGGACATTGCGCGGTCGCCGAGAGTGGCTTCGCTCTTCGAGAGTTTGGAAACTCTACGCTTCATATTTCCCAGCTAAACTACACCGCACCGAGATCCTGCCGCCCACTCGAAAGTATATTTTTGGCTACCATCCTCATGGAATCATATCTCATGGCGCTTTTGCTGCCTTTGGCACCGAGGCCCTTGGCTTCTCCACCCTATTTCCAGGGATCACGAATACCCTGCTTACTCTGGATGCGAACTTCCGAATTCCTTTCTACCGGGATTACGCTCTAGCCTTGGGTCTGGCTAGTGTATCTCGCGAGTCCTGCGAAAACCTACTGACAAAAGGCGGCGCCGACGGTGAAGGCATGGGACGTGCAATTACGATCGTTGTCGGTGGGGCGCGCGAATCACTTGACGCCCAGCCCGGTACCCTCAGCCTCGTCTTGAATAGTCGCAAGGGCTTTGTGAAAATGGCCGCTCGTACTGGGGCTGACTTGGTCCCCGTTCTCGGATTTGGAGAGAATGATCTATATGAGCAAGTCGACTCTGAGCAGCATCCTCACATCCACAAGATCCAGATGCTCATAAAGAAAGCCCTGGGCTTTACGATACCACTCTTCCATGCACGCGGCGTTTTCAACTATGATGTTGGCATGATGCCCTATCGTCGACCGCTCAATATTGTCGTCGGTCGACCGATTGAAGTTATCCAACAACGCGACCATGACAAGATTGATGAGGAATACATAAATGATCTACACAGCAGATATATAAAAGAGTTGACACGGCTGTGGGATGAATGGAAAGATGTTTATGCGCCTAATCGAATCGCCGAGCTTGAGATGGTTGCATAGCCACGAAATTTTGGATTGATTTTTGGTCCGGATATACGAGATATAGTTAGTATACATATGATCCAATTGGATATGTTTTCTGTGATTAATAGCTATACATTATTATTCTGTCGCTGCTGTAGAAAACAGACGAATTCATTGTTGGTTTTGAAGGCGTTGTCATCTACTAATCTTTTTAAACAATAAGTGTCATACAGCAGTTCTGGGTTTCTCAAAAGGTGGATAAATTCATATTCGAAAAACCAAATATGCAAATATATATTAGGATAGACTGTATTAGATAATTTATCGAGGCAGAGAGTGTGACCAGCTCCAATTTCCATCAATGTTCTGCCATGACTGACGCGTGATTGCTTTATTCCAGCCCATCATCACAGCCAGAAGGCGACACGATGCGCTACTTATGCCACACAGGACCTGGTCGCTCTGACTCAAGACTGCCAAGTCAAGAAGATATGCACGGCCAATCCACTCACGGAGGCTTAAGGCCTCCTTGGAAGGTTGCAGGCGATGCTGTTCGGCGACACTTCCCAGACTTAGAGTCTTGGAGTCTGTTGGTCCGCGATTGGATGGTAACGGGCCCCCGACAAGAGAATAATCTGCAGCCACGCCAAGGGACCAAAACATATCCTGGAAAAAGCCACCCTCCCAGCCGGAATTTTCATCAGCAAGTAGCTCTTGCTGATCATTTGCAGCATCTAGGCTCGACTTGCTTGCTAATGAGATGTAGTTTTGGGCTCTCTCCGCTCCTCCCAGCTCCAAGGAACTATATACATCAGGGTCGTCCGAAGCTAGCATGATCTTTGAGTGAGATATCATGGATTGAGCCAAAGCGCTATCGCTGTCTGCTTGTTCCAAATGAGTACGAATAATGGTACTCAGTTTCTTTACGTACAGGTCAAGGGGGATATAAGAATCCGAATATTGAGCCTCCAGAGGGTGTGTATCACCATGGCGAACATGCACGCCAACTGCAATGCCGCCTTTGGAACGCACTTCCCTATTTAGGCCCAGGATACGCTGTTGGAGATACACCGCATCATCGCCAATAATATGGAAAAGAGCCTCATAGCCAGTATGAGCCATATCGAATATTTCCTTTTGCTGCGTTTCACCCGCGACAAAGGGGCTTCGGAAATATTCTTCAAAGCTGTCACCAAAAATCAAATGCGCATTGGATGAAGACACAACGAGATGCCGTGCTTGAAGAGGGCATGGGACTCGGTAGGCTAAAGGTGGCGGGCGACAAGCGGGTTTTGGAAGTGGTTTAAAATAAGCCGAGAATGTTCCGTAGGCCCAATTTGTATCGTCAATGAAAAAGCTACGTCCTTGCTTTTGTGCAAGTCCATAGCTCATGAAGAGATTCATCAGAGTGTTCCCAAGTCCGGCATCTTCACTCTGCATGACAAATGTAAGACTCGTCTCACAAAATGCATCCTGTTTGTTCTCAGCAGACAGCATGCTCTTCGCCTGTCGGTCTGCTATATCTATGAAGTTCGGATCCGGTCGAAAATAGTCAAAAGATTGAAACTTGCCATGAGACACCTGCTGAGACATTTGAAGGCAATTTGAACACAAATCTCGCATCTGCGGCAAAGACAATGGTAGCTCCATGTCAGCTGGGATATGAACGGTCCATTTCTGGCGACCATGCTCATTTTTCATGATCACAGGAGACGCAGAATCTGGAAGGATGGGGGGCAATTGATAATCCTGATCGCCCACAAACCATCCGAGAACAAGAGGAAACGCATTGAAAACTGCAATTAAGGGTATCCGCGTAAGAATGAAGATCACTGCACACAATGACAGTATACGGAATGCTCTTCGTTTCCCAGAACCTGGACGCCTTTGTCCATGAGTAGGGATAATCGATGGGAGGACGGGCGACGGTAGTGGTGAATCGATGAGCGGAATAGATAAGCTGGTTTTTGGTTTCAATGACGGCGTGGTTCCTGCGGCCGTTCGCCGAAGAGGCATCTTTGGCGGGTTCTGTCGAGACGATATAATCATCTTCGTTTAGGCAAAGCCGACGCTGTCACCGTTCAAGGAAGAATTGATAATGGTATCAAATAGGTATATTAATTCATTGCTGCCGTTTGAATCACCAAAAGCGCAAGGCCAGTACGCTTGTGTACAACGAAGCACCCGTCGTGAGAGGCTAAACGGCAGTCGTGCAGTCGAACGGGTTGATAGTTGCCGAGCTCGGTAATTTATGACCGAAAACGCATTGTCCGTGGCAGTCCTTCGACATAGAAGAAGAAGAAGAAGAAGAAGAAGAAGAAGAAGAAGAAGAAGAAGAAGAAGAAGAAAAGAAGTATGAACTCGAATGAACGACAGCTGGCGCGCAGCTATACCAAGGCGTGAATGCAATAGCAAATAATCACTTTTGTCCCTGCATATAAATGATAGCCATGGAAATATACATCAACAGAGAGCGGGCACCTTGCGACCAGGCATGGGCTAATTTTCTTGCTTGAATGTCTGAACGATCAACAGCGAGAATGGGAAATATCAGATAAAAGGTCAATCAAGAACCGCAATGAAGGGAACAACGGCACTTGCACGTTGGAGAGCTCAAGGAAGAGGAAGGGACAGCCAGCAGGACGCCGGAGGGCGTGAAGAAGGGATCTTATAGAACATCTCGAGGGCAAAGCTTGGTTGGTGTTTTTTTCACAGCCAGCCAGGCGGGTCTGCGTCGCAGCAGTCGAGGGAGGCGTAGAAGCAGCGCACGATGACTGGGCGGCGCGTTGCTTACATGAAACAGCCTCAGCCAACGTCTGACGCCGGCGTTTGGTTTAGATTTGCGCTAGGAAGGAGCGCCCCTTGCTTCGTGCCTGCCGTGTGGGGCCTTCCTTGCGCGCCTGAGGCATCAACTTACAACTAGTTGGGAGACCCTCACGGAGTCATGTGCAAAAACCAAAATGGCATTTTCCGCTGTCATCACGTGACATGTCCTAAACAAACAACAAGAACCCTGGGGTATCAGAAAGCTAGCCGACCACCGGCCAGGAGCGACATTAGAGGTGCTGCTGCAAACAGCAGAAACGATAACAGGATGAAGCAAAAGATGATCGGGAAATGATAAAAAACCAAATATGCAGCGGAAGAAAGAGACAGTCACAAATTCTGAGCAAATAAGAAAAGCGCCCCCCCGCAAAACTTCGCTGCAACCAATATTCTCTTCGTTGAATGCCCAGGTACCGCTCAAAAAAGATAAAGATAGAAAGAAAAAGAAGATGGGGGAAGACACATGAACTGTGAAAGAGAAAAACATAGAATATAAACAAGAATATCATACACCCGAGAGGATATTGTGTGGCCAAAACCGGGAGAGCTGCAAGCAATGTTCAGTATTGTACGTCCGCTGGCATCTCAACAATGGAGGTCCGCGACTCGGAAACACTGGATGCCGTGGCCTTTGTCGCAATTGGTTCCGTGTAGCTGCTAGGACCATTCGAACTGAGCACGCTCCGGCGTGAGGTTTTCGTAAAGTGCCCATGTTCAACCCGGTCTTGAATCATTTCATCAAGCATGCGCGACACCTCGTCAACGCTTCTTCTGTTCGGATTCACCTCTCTTTCTGAGATACTGGCAAGAGAAACTGTGTTGACCGGGCTGCCGGAACTCAGTGGAGGACCACTGGCAAGTGAGCTGGCGTTGCTTCCACTGTTATGATGACCCATCCGCTTTTCTTGGCCTGGCACGTCCGCCGTCATTTGAGCAACGTCTCGCTGACGGGCTGCTGAACGGAGAGCAGTAAGCATTCGATCCTTGTCATCCATTTGGATGCGCAACTCTGAGATCTCCATATCCTTTTCACGTAACAAAGCCATCATGTCAGCGTCATCGCCGTTCTTCAATTGCGACAGACCCATTGACATTCTTGAATGACTTGAACGCCTCGCTTGAAGAAGTCGTCGCTCTAGGGTGGATATATAGCGGTTTTTATCTGCTAAATCAGCCTGCAAGGCTGTCACTTGCATCTGAAGACTTGCAGTTCCGTCACCAAACTCGCCAACAGTATCATCGTCCTCGTCATGCACCACTGAGGAGCGCTGATTCTGGAAATTATTGAGATGATCACCACCGTGTAAAGACTGTTGCGATACTGCTCTTCGTAACGAGTTTGCACCAAGTGTAGATTGGCTTGATGTCGAATATAGTGATCGTGTACGTGTATCATTTACACCGGACATACTAGACGATCGATCAAAAGCGGCTGCCGCACTTTGACTATTGACACCAGTAGATTTTGATGAAAGGATGAGTCGGTTGAGGTGCTCAATTCGCTCTTTGAGAGCAGTCCGAGCTAGTTGCATCTCGAGCATCTGCTCTTCGTGGCGCGCCTCTGCTTCCTTTTCCATCCTCTCTTCCTCCATCTTCAAGTCATTTTCTGCCTGGGTTTTGCTCTGTGACTCCAATTGGGCGCGCAGGCTCTGAATTTCCATCCGATAACGTTCCAAAAGTACTCTGCTTCCACCATCGCCATTTCCCCCGTAGGCTTCTTCTGCCTTTTTGGCGTGACTGACAATATTATTCTTTGCTCTGGCAGCGAACTTAAGTGTGTTAAGTGTTTCGTTTGTGTGTGAGTTGGCTGGAGCAGCACTGCCAGATGCTCCTATTTGGATTGTACATAGAATGCTGACGAGTGAATTTCCCGACAACGCTGGTTGCAGCAGTCTTGTTAACTTGCTGTCTCGGTAAGGTAGATGCTTGCCTTCTTTATCTGCAGAATTGGTTGCTTTTTCCTTGCTCTCAGAAAGTCGGGCAATGACAGTACCCAGCGTAAGCAAGCTCTTGTTGATGTGAGCACCTTCTGTCCGTCTTTCTTTGTTCTCTGCAGCACGCTCGGAACCTGCGAGATCAATCAAGCTCAAGGTCGAGACCCGTACACCTCCTGGAGCAACCGCTGATCGCTTATCTTGAATTGCGTTCCCGCTAGGCGCTCGCTCACGGCTTTCGACGACGATTTGGACAACGGCGTGACTTCGAGAGCTGCGTGCATTAAATTGGGTGCTGCCAGTCCTTCGCGCATGATCTCCTCTAGCAATGACACGGAGGAGCTGCGTGGGACTCTGCACAATTTCTTCTTTCAAAGGAGTCGCATAGACGCCTCTTTTACTATCCTCACGCAACTTGATTTCCTCCTGTTGCGCGGGGGCACCTGGGCCATTCGCAGTTGAAGCCGAAAGCAGATCATGTATCTTTTCATTGTAGATTTCCAAGTAGCTGACGCGAAGTAGAAACTCTCGATGTGGAGTTTCACGGATATAGGAAAATATGTCTGTTATGGCCAATGGGATAACACCCGGCGAGGACGCGGTTCCCTGCATTGAGAATGTCTTTCCGGTCCCCGTCATGCCGTAAGCAAAAACGGTTCCATGGTACCCTTCCATGACTCTCCGCACTAGACGCTTGGCTGAAGAATCGTAGACTCGAGAGTTATTGTCATGCGTCGTGAAAACATTATCTGCGAGAATCAAGCTTAGCAAACATACAGGTCAGGTCACAATGGTTGCGTTCTCACCATATAGGTAGTCGCCGCTCTCTTTGCCTCGAAATGAAATGAGCGACCTCCGGCCATCTACCATCCATTCCCCTTCGGTACGAGAATTATCATGGGCGCCATTATCCGGGCGGACTCGCACACTAACGATGACGTTGCCTTTTACTTCCTTTGATCGAGGGCTCTTTTTCGATGTGTCTTTGGGATCCATTGCGCCGTGTTCAGTCTCTTCGTTTTCGTCAAATGTTGTCGCGCTCGTCGAGTAAGAGCCCTGAGCTGACGAGCTTCTGCTGTGCGGGGGAGAAGATATGCTGAACTGGCCTTCGGAGTCTCTGCCAACTGCCGCATTCAACACTGTCTTTCCATCGCTACTATGGTCCAGGAGCGATACCGTCTTTGAGCTACGATTGCTCATAGTGGTTCCTGAACTGAGCCTAGACTGTTTCCTGGCCTTCATAGTACCTGATTTAGTGATGTCGGGGGTACCGCGCGGTGTGGTTGTTGTCGCATGAGAGGCAGAGCTTGAAACAGATGCCATTGACAGCCTGCCGCTAGACTTGGGAGGCTGAGGAAACGAGGCGATGCTAACAGACCGCCGTACAGTCTTGTCTGTGCCGATTGGGGTTATTGTGCCCGAGATAGATCGCATTGCAGAGCCCAGCTGATTGTTTCCGCCTAGTGACGGCCGTGAGGGCGGGCGGAGCTTAGACGGTGACGGAGACGCGGCCCTCTGTGCATCTGAGATGGCGGACAAAGGCTTGAGCTTCTTGGGGGGTAGCGACATGTTGCTGGCTGATCTGTTGCTTGTTTGACTCGATGTTCGAGGTAGAGCAGATTGAGAGGCCATGGCCGCGGCTCAACAAGAAATTGTGTGCTTTAGATGGAATTCTTTGATGCAAGTCCTTTGTTCGTTCATCCACTCAGGCCATGAGCGTTTCGGCTTCTTCTGAAAGGCGTAGAGAATTGTTACGGGCCGAGTCGAAGCCTTCACGAGGAGTTCGAGAGTTACTGGGTCATCTGTAAGTAGTTAGCAGGGCTTTTATCCAAACATTGAAATGATTTGGGATGCCAGAAGTGCTATAAAGCGGCGTTTTCCTTTTCAATTGCAGGAAGGTCAGGAACGTACAATCAAAGAGAGAAAGAAAAAGCCCGAGACTTCTTTCCTACTCCACAAGGCTGATTGTTCACAAAGAAAGAGTTTCTGTGGGTTGATTCGCGTCGATAAGACGAAACGCGCTCGTCCGAGTGTAGCGCTTCGAGGACAAGATGAAAACAAACAGCGGGCGGTCGATGGTTGCGATAACAATTTGGAGCTTATCGTGGGGGAAATGTGCAAACAGGAGTGACAGTCGCGTTCAAGAGACGGTTCTGCGAGAAGGGAGTCTCGCGATGATCGCGCAGACTCTCTGGATTTGCAGCTGATGCGGTCTGTAGAGTGGCTCGAACAAGGTGGGATTCAGAGTCTGATGGCGCCTGGAGCAGATGTTCGCCCATAAGGTAAAGGGGTAAATTAAATTCGCGGGCGCTAACCAACTGTAACTGCTAGGGGCCTTCCCGGCGGGCGAATGGGAGCAGCGGGATGCGGGCAGGAACGCACGGATTGCATACGAATCTCGACTGGAGAGATAGCCCTAACTTGCTGCAATATAAACAAATTAGAATATCGCTGTCATCGCCCTAGGTTGACTACAATGCTCCATCCAGGGCCGCTACTGCTCCATATCTCGTTGCCAATGCTCGTCTATAGCGCAATGTAACAAACAAGCTTGTTACACCCGTTACCAAGTACAAATACCACCATAAGCCTGGGTTGATTTAACCACTTCTCCATGGCATATGATTGCATAGAAGAAACGGCGAGGAGCTTGTGTGCGTGTGAAATCGAGTCGAATAATCAATCTATCTACGCTAAGCAGAACGAACTCTGATGGTGTGCTAGATATGGATATGTAGATATTTCCGGCTTCAAGTGCGGATATACCCAGCAAGCTCAAAATTCCAAGCCTAACAAGAAGCTATGTTGATCCCTTTGACTGGGTACCCTTGATATTCCTGAAAGGGAAGGAGAGGAGAAGGGGGTCGGCCCTTTGATGCCCTTGGATGGACTTCTTGCCGCCTATGGAACATCCAAGTTATGGTCATTTTCAAGCTCAACTGGGATCCAAGTCCTTTCTTGGACAAGGGACAGCATGCAGAGGGATGCTCTGTATACCTCAATGCAGCTCGCAGGGAGGGTCAGGCGCGGAGCCCGGAGAATTCAACCAATGACGAGAAGAAGCGGCATGTTCTAACCTATATTCCGTCCACTTAAGTCGGAATTCATTTGATGGCTCCTCCAAAGTCCAACTGTCGAGCGGCATTCTTGAAACGACCTTCAGAATCTTCACCAGCTCGTCGTGATAAATCATTGCCCATCTTCTGTGAACCCCCGGACTTCCTTGGAAGAGATTCCTTTGGTGTCGGTTTTGGGTCGCTTCTCCACCAAGCATGTTGTAATATCTCACGCGCTGAACTCCGCTTGCGAGGATCAAGGGTGCTCATGGACATCAGAAGGTCAGCCCCAAGAGGCCCTGCCGTAGGGAATTGGCGCAGGAAAAACTCTCTCCCTTGAAGAGGAGTGATACGGTCTCCAGGTGGTACGTAATTGGGAAGCTTGGTCACTCCAGGCCAATTTTCCTCCGTTGGTGACCCGAATGCTTCACTGATCTTAGCAATTTGGTCCATATCACTATTCCCGGCCACATAGGGTACACGAAGTAGCAATTCCGCAAAAACCATCCCCATGGACCAGACATCTACTACCGCGGAGTATTGACGAGCGCCATATAAAAGTTCGGGCGGTCGGTACCAGCGTGTGATGACTTGATGCGTCATGTTCAGGTAGGGGTCAGCGAAAGATCGAGCCAAGCCAAAATCAGCCAACTTCACTTCGCCGTCCGACGCAATCAACAAGTTATTCGGCTTGATATCACGATGCAAGATGAAGTTCTCGTGGCAAAACCAGACCCCCCTTGTAAGCATACCCATCCAAGCCTTGACGTCTGCCACACCGTATTGAATGTTGCCATCTTTGATCAACATTTCGAGATCACCTAATGGCAAATATTCAAGCACGAGGTTCAGATTCCGATCCTTTGAAGAGAACACGTCGTGAAGAGCGATAATATTCGGATGAGATAGTTCTTGTAGGTATTTTATTTCCCGAATAGCATCCATCGAAAGGCCGTCTCGATACTCGGCATTGACTTTGATTTTCTTGATCGCAACAAGGGACGAAGGATTGTCGCGCAGATACCCGAGGTAGACAACGGCGTAGGTACCCTCACCGAGCTTTTTATCTGCGATTAATCTGAGTTAATATCCACAAACCTCGCGGGACGGTTCATTGCATATGAGGAAAAAAAAGCCCTTACCCTTAACGTACTTTCGCCTCACATCTTCATTCAACTGTTCTGCCAGTTCCGAGCTTGCAGTGGCCGGTGCCTTCGAAGGCGACGCGAGAGGGGGCTGACTTTCGCTTCCTACAGCGAGAATTTTTGCCTTGGATGCAGTGGATGCACCAGAGGGAGACTGTGTAATGAGTGGTGATACTGCCATAGCACAAATGCACTTTAAGATGAGTTATCAATAGTAGAGGCGCGGGAAAGAAGGTTTTCGATGTAAAAGCAATCAGGAAAGTGAAAAGGCTCTACTATTGTAGAGCGCGTCTCATGCTGATTAGTTAGTAGTAGAATTCGCAATTAACTGGGAGCAGTACCATAACGAGCCAACCAGGCAATCGGTCGGTCGTATGAAGGAAGCTGAGAGGTAATCCCGAAGCTTCGCGGGGCGGACTATCGTTGATCCAGCCAGGGGCTGACGGGGCTGCCGATAAAACTTTGCCGATGCCGATTGGATAATGCCAGAAAAACGAAGGCTAACCTGAGCAGAACAAGAACGAGACGTTAAACCCTCACCATCTCAAAACTTCCTTCACCCGAGCAGCCTCTGCACGACGTTTCGAGACAGCGTGTCGTTGCAGCAAGATGTTACTTCCTGCTCGACGTTTTGCTGTCATACAGTCAAGGGTACTGCCCAGTCCCTTCGCGCCGTCAACATGTGTACGATGCCTTCATGAGCAACGAGCTGAACCTGTTATTCCCAAGCCGACACCATTTGTGCCTGATGTCCCGACATTTTTGTCCCTGATTGGGCGCGAAATGTCCAAGCACGCCAGCAAGTTCCCCTCCTGGGATAGTCTGTTCTCCCTCTCTTCATCAGAACTCCGAGATCTTGGAATCGAGCCCACAAGACAACGACGATATCTACTTCGACAGCGCGAGAAATTCAAGAATGGCATTTTCGGTCCCGGCGGAGACCTTGATGTTGTCGTCGATGGTGTCGCCCAATTGCGCGTGGCTGAAGTCCCTGCTGACCGCATCGACAGCAGCAGCAGCACCTCGCCAAATGCCTCTGCCACGTTAACGCCAGGCATGCGACGCGTGCTCGTGAATCTTGCTCCGGATGCGGAAAGTTACGAATATAAGAGCAACGACCCGATCAAGAAATATGCGCACATGAAGGTTCATCGAGGCACCACGGTCATCGGTCCATATATTCAAGCCATCAAAGGCACCAGCGGATCAGCAGCATTGATTCGGGCCACAGAGGGCATGTGGGAGGATAAACGCGGCCATAAGGTTGACGGTGGTGAACGACGCCGTGCTGAGGTTCGTGCGAAAAGGAGAAGCGCAGAGAGACGGGCGGCCAATAAATAAAGAGAGACGAGTACTTTCTCAAACGAAGCCAATTCTATAACTCTATCGCATTATGTCATAGGGACTTTCTTTTTGTATATTATGTTGGGCTGACAGCGGGATATTGCGTTGCGGTATTTGTTTCAATTCATCCCCTGTAAAATCTATTGTTGTTACACTTGTTCCAGGCCATCACACAATCCTCGAATTTATTTCAAACACAAGATTTAGTATCAAAACTTCTTTTCACTTTTAGTATAATATCCTTTAATCTATCTATCTCTGTATAAGAAAGTCCATCCTATCCTACACAAGAGACTTCAATGCCACTCTCGTGTCTTCCAAATCAGCCCGTTATTCAAACTATATAATACAAGAATGGAACAGTACGCAATTTATGTATGCCCAGAGAGACAACCAGACAGTAACTCCAGGTCATTAATATTATGGGTTGTTATGTATGGATGATAGTGAAGAAATATCATAGAACATCATATACCTTGCTCCTTGAAGAAAAGACGAGCTAAGCTTCAGCTGCAACAAAACATTAGGCCTTGGAAGATGACTCTCTTCGCTCATATTGAACGAAAGAATTCGCCCAGGGCCTGGAAAATAACGACTGCGATTCAATGTTAGTCTCGTATACTTGAGATTTGAGTCTGCCATGAGAACAAGAGACTTACCGAATAATCAGTATCTGGCACACCTTCAACGTTGGGAAGATTCTTAAACTTGAGCTGCCTGACCAACGATGCACATATAGCACCTAGTTGAACATAGGCAAATTGTTCACCAATGCAACGATGACGGCCGGCTCCAAAGGGCAGGTAGGGGCTTCCAGCACCTTTGCTAATTAAGCCATAGCCATAGTCAACCTGCTCATCGTCTTCCGTGTTCTTAACACCGTCCCATCGGTGAGGGTCCCAGTCCAAAGGCTCAGGGAAGTGTTCGGGTGACCGCGCAGTGACTCCAGGGGACGAAAGAACGTTATGAGAGGTTGGGATGACATAAGGGGTGCCATCGACTGGCATGGGGTTCTTAACAGCACGGATGATTGAGTGGATCGGGGCATGTAGACGAAGTGTCTCCTTGATCACGTTTGCTTGCAGTTCCAGTTTTTGCAAGTTCTCATGAGTAAGAGGGGGAAGATCGGGTCCCAGGACTCTGATTTGTTCTTGATACAACTGCTCAGTAATCTTGGGCTGCGAAGCTAGTCGAAGCACGATCCATGAGATGGTGGAAGACGATGAGTGTTGACCAGCCATTAGGAGAGCAATCATCATATGGGCCACCTCAATATCGGGAATGGGGGTGCCATCCTTGTAGACGCAGGACATCAGGTTCCAAACCATGTCTTCCGAGTCCTTCTCGCCTCCAGACTGCCGACGCTTCTGGATGATGTTCATGTAGGTTTCAGCCATCTTCCTCTGCGCACGGTCACGCTTGCGGTTGTGTGGAAGAGGAGCCCAAGGGAGCATAAAGTTGATTGGAGCAAATCCCATATCCAGATCATGGTAGAGCTCAGCGAAGGTCGAATCAAACGTGTCTCGTACTTCCTTGCCTTGCAGCGATCGAGAAGCGGTGTAAATCGTGATTTCAGCCATTATTTTGCCCACATCGATAGTTCCCCGAGCGTTCTTGAAAGCACTGCTTGTTGCGATATACTCGTTTACTTCCTTTGAAATGAGCTGAACATAGGAACGTAGCGCCTCTGAGGTCAAACCGAATTTCACAAACTGCTTATCTATTAAAATTTGTTTCCTCGAAAATAACGGTTGGTTGCAACATCTTGTTTTACCTTTTTTTGCTCCATCAGCTTCGAATTGGGACAGTCGTACACCACGTGCTTGCCGAATACCGGGGTCGTGAGAGGCGAGTAAACTTCTTCAGCGCAGACATCGCGCAACTTTGCGTTCAGAATGAAGTCGTTTCCTTTGGTTCCTAAAAAGACCGTGGTCTTTTTGCCAAGTAGCACGAATGTAAAGATATCGCCGTACTAAAGGGATGAACAATTGTGAGTTTCCGAACAATACGACAATTCGAGAATATAAGAACAATTTACCTTGCTGCGACAGTTGAAGAAAAACTTGTACGGGTCGATGCCATAGCTGATTGTGCTGCCGATGAATGGAAACCAGTGAAATACAACAGGAGGCTCATTGGGATTTTTGAACAGCAGCTGGCTCAAGACATTCACCACAACGGAGACAACCAGCAGCGTAATGAAGCCCAGCCCGGCGAGCACGTAAATGGACTGCGTTGAGCATTGTTCGCAGAATTTGTCGAGGACAGCCGCGAAGAGCCCCATGGCGTGTAGAGTTTCGATGAGCAGCGATTGAGAACCAAAGACAGGATATAGAAGATTCAATGACAAGAGCGACAACGTATTGAAGGAGAGGTAGCACGTTGCGTGAATTGCAGCAGCGTCGTACTGCTTTTGCAAGTTGTACTTAGCGCTTCAGCTGACGATCGAAGCCGCTTAAATAAAAAGACTGACTTTATCCAGGGGCATTTGCGCCCGCAGGGCACTAGGCCTGGAGTGGCTTAGCGCTGGTGTTTTGGCTGTGAGCCTGTGAGGCGACCAGACTCGCTGAATTCCCGCTGCCGGGACGAGCCTTACTGCTTCGGGGAAAGCGCCTTTCGCCGACCAGTGGTGTGTATCGGATTATTTATTGCCGGGTGAGCCTTCAATATAATTGACTATATTAAATAATAACCATACTATACACAGAGCCACCTTTTCTTGCAGCAGGCTGAACCATTGCCTGATGCTCGTGTGATATAGACCATACGACAATGCAGCGACTGTACCCAATGTCGCCCCGCAGAGTACAAACCACATGCGCTATCTAGATCGAAACGCGATTGACCGTATCCATAACAATAAGTAAACAATATTTCTAGGTTGCTGAGCTGAGCTGCAGTCGGGGTCTCATGAATCTTGCTAGGCTATGTCCAAACTCTAATTTTTGCGATGGCCTTTGGCTGGATAGCGACTACCGGTATCATCCTCCTCGTATAAGACGGGATCCCCGCGACCGCCCATATTGACGAATTCCGCTGTAGGACGATTCGCAGCTGGCCAAGGTTCATGACGTTGATTCGTATGCTTTGGAGCATGCTTTGTCGTAGAGTTCTTGCGGAATACCTTGACCTCCTCCCCCTCGTTGTCGTCTTGGATAACCTTGTGCACTTCCACATCATTGATTGAACTGAGCAATGTCCGTTCGCGTCCGGGCTTACGCCTTGAGAAATCCAGTTGATCCATGGCCCCAGTCAAGCCGTCTGTGCTGTCAGTAACGCTTGGAAAATTTTGAGTCATCCAAGGGTGTTCGAGACATTCATCCACTGTAATTCGTTTATCAACGTTCACAGTGAGCATTCGGTCAATCAAGTCAAGAGCCACGTCGCCAACCGAATCCCAGTAGGGCGATGGATAATCGAACCGACCCATCTTAATTTGTTGGGCCAGGTTGTACGGGTTTTCCGGGGTGTAAAGTTCATCGGAGAAGGGTGGAAATCCACAAAGGCATATATAAAGAACAACACCCAAAGACCAGATATCAACTGCCTTGGTGTATCTTCGATGTCGGGATTCCTCTAATATCTCGGGTGCAACGTCTAGAGACTTGTGTCAGTTTTCTTTTTTCTTCTCTTTTCGGCTACATCTCCAAGATCCTTTTCTGTACTTACAACTCGGCGTTCCACATCTTTGAATTGTCAGCTGTGAATATGTACAAGGCAGAAGGATGGGGGGCGGGGTGAACTTACAATGTTGTAGTAAATGAATCCTCCCCAATTATTTTGGCGAGGCCAAAGTCGGCCAATTTCGCGTGGAGATTCTTATCTACGAGGAGAATGTTTTCGGGCTTGATATCACGATGCACAATGCCACGATCATGCTATATGGTACATGAGCCTCAGCTGGAACGCGATAAGATCAGTCAGGAGCACTTACCAGATACTTCAAGCCCTGGAATAATTGAAGGAACAGTTTGCGAGTTTGGTTCTCAGAGAGCTTTTGTTTTCTGACAATATAGTTGAATAATTCTCCCTCCGGAGCGAGCTCGAGGACCAAATAAGCGCCGTCGCGCTCATCGAATGTATCTTTGAGACATAAAACATTGGGGTGGTTGACGCTCATTAAGAGAGCAATTTCTTGCTGGAGGGCTTCTGCTTGAGACTTTTGAGATTCACTCTGTCGCCTCTCAAACACCTTTACAGCGTACTTTTTACCGGTAGCTCGCTCCACACAGAGGTAGACTGTTGCAAAATGCCCCTTTCCGAGTTGTTGCAGGATCCTATACTGTTGTCGGAAGCCACTTGCGTCCCTTGTCCGAGGATACCGAAATACGAACCGAGCCTCATCAATAATAGTGATTTCGTCGCCATCCTCAAGCTCTCTGTGTTTATTGCGCCCTAGTATAGCCTCATTAACGAAGGTTCCGTTGCTGGAGAGATCCTCGAGAATAGCAACAACATCTCCGTTCCTAGTTTCGTTAAAAATCAAGCAGTGGCGATTCGATATGGTTGGGATATTTAGGACCAGGTCTAGATACTAGGTTAGCACTGAACCGTCTTCACCAGCAAAGTGAGAATATAAGCCTACCACATTCAGGGTGACGTCCAATGATATAGCCCTTAGGGGAAGGGTTCGGCGACTTGACAGGGTCCGGATTCCTGGAAGATTTCAATTGTTTCTTCGAGCTTCTGCTGGGCGAGCTTGTCTTTTCTTCCCTTTCTGCCTGGCCACATGAATCGTCTTCACAGGTATTCCTTTTCTTCAAAACCAGAGCATGCCCGGCTTTGTCGTCAAGGGGAATCAGATAGCCCCAAACTCCCTCCGCAGCTTCGTCTTCAACGTCGTCGGCGAATGCGCGCGGGGGGTAAACGAATTGAGAGAAGGCCTGAGTGTCACCGGGCGGAGACGACAAGGCCGCCAAGTGGTCATCAGAACTGGGAGTACGGCGCGATTCTGGGGTGACTGTAACGGCTTTCTGGATATCGGTGACCGTAGAGTCATGATGTGTCAATGGAGTCGGAAGGTATGTATTCTTGATGGGGGTTGTTGCAGCTATATCATCTCCGGTTTGAGAAGCTAGGCGTTCTGACCGTCGCGGTTTTTGGGACTTTTTAAGCTCTTCTTGGGGATCCTCTAAGCTACCCTGTGACATTCGTGATAGTTAGCAACAGCCGAACTGATGAGAAAGGAACTAGACTTCTATACCCGACGACGCTTCAAAGAGCTTCGCTCATTGCGAGGTGCCATTTGGAAGATCGGACGCGTAGCAGCCCTGCAAAGTGCTGGTACAATCACGAGGCAGCAAAGAGAACGTGGACGAGGATCAGAATGTAACTTATCTCATCTTTCAGATGAGAAATTATGCTAGCAGTAACGCGACCAGTGGAGCTTGCAGTAGTTGACTAGTTGTAGCTAAGGCGGAGCCTCCGATGAGATGAGGGATGGCTTTCAGTTTGGCCGGTGGTCGCGCGCTAGTGCCACCAGGCGGCGCCGAACATTGGAATCTTTTCCATGTTCTCTGTTGTCTATGCATATATGCATATAACGTGCCTTTGCCTTTGCCTATGAGAATCTATATCCTGGTTTTGTGTTTTGACTGCCTTTGTTTACATCGGGACAAGGTTTTATTTCTACAGTGCAGCTAGCTATTGGCTACACGATATCGTAGTCAGAAATCCAGGTGTCATATACTTACTGATGATCAGATCGAACAATAAATATCACAAATAATATTCGAAGAGCAATGGATGCCTAAACGATCTTCAATATCTTCAGTCTACATATCGAACAGTTCATAATTTTATGCCCAACCCTGAACAGTCATCAAACAAAAGGCCCACACGTTCCTTCCCGCTGCGGCGCAACTCCAAGCTTCCTCTGCGTCGGTCCCTGATTGAGTGAGCGTACTCTCTTTGCAGGTGCGGCTTCTGCCAGAGACCACACAATCGTGAGCTCCATGATATACGAGCCAGATAGTTCTTCGTCTTTGGAGCTTGCTACCATTCGCAATGGATGCGTGAGCCCCTCTACCCCCTGCCTTTTTCTATACCCGCGGTACTGACTGGCATTCCGACAGCTTCACCCCCAATCTCAGGCGAACGGCTTTCGAAAGACTCGCTTTTCTCGATACCTTGGACTCCCAAGACAAGCCCTCCAAGCTCAGTGTTAGTCGACTCATCAAGGAATGCCGGGCCCCAAGTTCGAAATCGGTTGCTTTTGGAGATGGGTTTGCTCAAGCGCAGTCGAAAGCCCCTATGGTTCGTTTGCTCCAGAAAACTACGGAAGCTTCCTGAACCACTGACCTAATCGCAAACTAGACACTTCGTGAACTTGAAATTATCCTTGCCCTAACCAAGGCCGCGCCGAATGTCACTTGCCACGACCAAGTATTGGGTCTCGCTTCACAATTCTCTGGTTATCTGACAGAGTCATACAATCAGCAGTTTCGAGCTTCTCCTTTCTTGCATGAAATAAAGCCATCGCCGTGGGAGGCCCTCACACACGACTTAACCAAAGCCCTTTTGGACCTAAGTTTGAACGATGCCTCGGTTCGAGACCAGGCCACGACTGCGGTAGTGGCATACTTGGATAACTGTGCCCGTGCGGTGAAGGGAATCATCAAAAACGGAAATAAGCAGAATGGATCTGAAGGTCCCGTTGAACCAGTTGAAATTCTCATCACAGCCCTTTCATTAGCCGGGTTTCTGGAAGGTGCATCACACTCTACTCAACTATGGGTTGCGGCAGAGAAGTCGGCCATTATTGAGCGGTTGCAAACTATACTGTCCGACGACTTCCTTGTGGCTGTGGAGACTGCGGCCTCAAAAATCCGAAACTCGAGTGCAACGGACTTTACTATACGGGACTGGAGGAGATATAATCGAAGATATGCAGCTAAGCGGCGGCCACTCGGTGCCATGTTATTACAGCAGCGATTTTCACGTTTCATCAAGTCCTGTACAGTCACTACGATCCTGAGACGCGCTCCACCAAGTGATGCTGCATTTTTCGAGAAATATGCGGATGAATTGGTGGCGGCCGAGCCCTTTACTGAAAGTGAAGAAGCTGCACTTGTGAAGTATATCGTCGGCATCATAACCGATGGGATTCACCTTCTCGAAGACGGCGCGGATTACCTACAGATTGGTTCACAGTGGCAGCAAGAACTCGCTTTCTCAGTGAAAGCCTCATCCCTGATCGCATTTTTGAATTGCATGAGCGCAAATGAGGAGCTGGCAGATACTGATTTATTGTTATCATGGCTTGAGGATACACTGGCTGATGCAAATCAAATGGCAGCTTTTGATCTGGCAACCACCGCGCTCGAAGCCATTGCGGTCACCGCAAAATTGTTCCCGTCCAATGCCTCTAACCTCAGCCATTTACTTCTGAAGTTCATTATACAGGGTGGTGCAAGTCAGCCAATTCTCTCCGTTGCTGCCAGCTGCCTCGCTAAGGTCCTGAAAATTCTTTCACAAGATTTTGTGATTACGACCTTATACTCACTAGGCAATGTCTTGAGCCCAACAGTAGGAGGCGTCGAGCGACCTGTTCAGCTCCCAGCAGAGACACCCGAGAACAACCCTACCCTGGATGCTTATAATTCAAACACCGAAAGTGTCGTGTCTCTGTCGTATACCAGCGAAGAAGACTCAACGGTTACGCATCGTAATGTCATTCATGCAATTGCCACCATCGCCGTTAGTTGTGAGGATGAAAAAATTGCAGCTTTGGCTCAATCTATGCTCCTTCAGAAAATTGGAAGAATCAGCCTTGTAGCTGATGCCTATATCGTTCAAGAAACCGCTTCCCTGGCATTGGTCAGCAAGCATTCCGAGTTCCAACTCTTGTTGAAATTTTATGCGCGTCTTCATCGAGAGGCTCTACTAAGGGGCCATAATATTATCGCCGACGCGGTCCATAATGCCAGAAATAATCTCTCGATAATTCTTAGGGAAAGTCCATCTCACAGAGGCATATATCTTGTGCATTTGCTAGAAGGGATTATCAGTAAGGGTGATATGACGGATCTCGGACGCGATCGACCAAAGGATATAACACTATCACCCGATGATATTACTCCATTTCTGAAGCCACTTGCTCTCCTTTTAAGTGACAAGAATGGGGGAGAAGTTAAACCCACCGAGACTTATCAATATGATGAAGACACTGCTGCTTTGTTCCGCGACGCCTGGTTTAACATTGCAGTGCATGGCATCTCGGTTCAGTCAGATGTTGGTCGGCGGTACAGGAATGAGCTATCTATTATTGCTGAGAAATCGCCTCCATTGGTACCCGAGAATCGTACTGAAATACTGGAAAGCGATGTTGAGCTCAATATTACCCTGAGACGTGGCATGGGACACCAACGGTTGGCTGAACAGAGAAAGCTCTTAGCCAGCGAACTCCCAGATCATGAGTCCAATATCAAGCGTATCAACTACCAGGAAATCGTGTTCTTGAATGCAAGCCTGTTGATAGAGAGTCTCCGAGCTTCAGCTGGAGACTGCACAAAGATCCTGCTGTACTTCTTGGATCCATCTCTGAGCTCATCTGAGTTGGGCAAATGTATGGAGGCTGTTGCAGACAAAGTTCTTGACATATATCTGTCGAACGCTCTTTCTGGCAAGGGTGAATATTCTGCTAGTCCCCATCTATCAAGACAGCTTGCAGAAATCTTCGTTTATTGTTGTCATCGCATAAACCGTGTCCAGGAAATAGCTCTCAACTGTGCTAGCAAAATCATTAGCCGATCCCCGTCCGTTCTATGTGACCGGAATCCGCTTTTTATTTTATTAGATCTTCTTACTATCATTTGGTCATCGTGCTTGGAAAATGAGTTGGACGAGTACGGCTGGAAGTCCACTCTCACGAAAGGCAATGTCACAGTTGAACTGTCGGATAATCATGAATCCAGGAAACGGACTCTGGGTTTGTTCCATAGTCGCGCCAAAGCCTGGATGATTGTTGCGATCAACCTTGCTCCCCTCGATGTTAAGGGTCTCCTGCAGGTATATCATATCATAGCTGCATCGCTCAAAGACACTCTGATATATACTGACATTGGCATATTAGACATACCTATCCGACTACGACGATGATGGTGCATATGGTCACATCTCGCTAGGGCGTTCATTTGCTCTGGATATGGCATCCCAAGTTCCTCAGAGTGACCAGCGACTGGGTGCGTTCTGTCAGTATTAAGAAGGCGACAATATTGCTAATGAGACACTTTATTTAGGTTACATTGAGAACTACGGAGTCGAAAATGTTAATTGTGCCTCTGATTTGATCGCACAGTATACTAGTCGCCAGGAATATAGATACTCGGAGTTTTCTCAGAACTCTGACCGACGAAAAGAAATTGGCCACCTCAGTAAGTCGCATGAACTACGTTTTTTTTTTTCGGCATTTGCTAACGATTTCTAAGGCACAAATGGCACGATTGACCCATATCTCAACCAGTATATTGACCTGATAGAAAACCTCCTGAAACAGCTCGCTCTTCGTATTTCTACTGGTTATGATCTATCTAGCCACGAGTTGCATGATGCATTACGAAAAGCTGCAGCATTACTTTGCAGGAGTGATGGTGATCTTCCGTCGATTGCTCATTATCTTGTTGATATACCTTTCCAAATATTCAGCAAAGAGTCGATCAAGTTTGGTATATCAATCTGGCTGGGTGTTATCAATGAAAACCCGAAAACGGAAGCAAGGATCTTGACAGAGGTAGCTGCAGCTTGGGAGCAGACTGTTCAGCGTAGGAAAGGATTATTTGACCCTGAATTCAAGTAAGTTTCCGTATTGGTGATACACTTTCCAGTTTACTTACGCACCGCTGTAGCCACCCGGATCCATTCTTTACAACGATCGAGCTGCTTCCTTCGGATAAAACAGCACTGCTCCGACAACAACATCTGGCCCAGGATGTTTTATCTCCTCACTTGCGCATTTTGCAATTTTTTGAAAGCCACTTCAATGCCACACGAATTGCGAGTCCCAATCTGCAAAGGATTTTCTCGCGAATGATCAGCCGGACGCTTGCTGGCTTACAGCACACCAACGGTCATCCTCTTTCTCGAGAAGTTCATTTTCACATTATCTTGCTAGGATTGCGGATAATCCAGCATTCAACGACGCAAAGCCGTGCTTACAAGTGGAAGCTAAAAGATTTGTTGCTGTCAGCCGCTCTCAGCTGGTTCAGACATCCGCCTAGGTTAGTAAAAATCAATCTTTGATCTAGGGCTACACAGCTTCTAACCTTCATCTTCAGGTGGTCATTTGGCGGGAACCGTCTCCAGATGAAAGCCGAAGACAAATTGTTGAAGGATGTTGAAGATGCCCTAAAGCACACCGCAAGCATTTGTTCCTCAGCAGTTGGCTATCGACAATCCTTGCGAAATAAGCAGGAACTTCTACAAATTTTAATTGAGAACGAACGAACGCGTCTCAAAGTATGGCTTTTCCCACTCGAGCAGGAACGGAAACATTATATATCAGGCCTCGGGGCCAAACATCAATCCGAGGTAAGCGGAAATTTTCCCTCCAAGATGTTTTATGAAAATTTAACCACTAACAAATGAACACAGGCTATTGATCAGCTGTTGCGGACCGCTTGGGGCGAAAGTGCAAGTTTGGCGATTCAAATGTGTTCTCGTTTTCCATCACAGAAAATCCACAACGATGTGCGTTGGCTGCTTCTCAATTTCCCGGAGAAGGCAATAGATGTTCCTGAAAGCCTAGAAATGATGTTCGGCTCATCTTTGCCGTCAGATGTTTCTTTCCAGCTGAAGGTATGCTTTTCATGTTCCCTTGTTATTTGAGGTTAAGTTTTTGTGTGTGTGTGTTTTGACTAATGTATCGCAGTATCTCTTATACTGGAGTCCTGTTGCACCTAGCGAAGCATTGACATACTTTTTACCGGCCTACGGGAATCATCCATTCGTGCTTCAATATGCTATGCGAGCTCTAGAAAGCCACTCCATCGACGTCAGGTTCTATTTCGTTCCACAGCTTGTGCAAGCCCTACGATATGATGCCCTAGGCTACGTTGAAAGATACATTTTCGAATCTGCCAAACTGTCACAGTTATTCGCTCACCAAGTGATCTGGAATATGAAAGCGAACGCTTACAAAGACGAAGACTCTGAAATTGTACGTCTTACCCTTAATCTCCCATTGTAGTGTGACCGCAAAAGCAAACTTGCTAATCTGGAGTAGCCTGACTTGATTAAACCCACGTTGGACAAATTTATGGATAAATTGGTGTCCAGCTTCTCGGATGATGAGCGTAACTTTTACGAACGAGAGTTTTCCTTCTTTAACGAGATCACTGGCGTTTCGGGCAAGCTACGACCGTACATCAAGAAGAGCAAATCCGAAAAGAAAGAGAAGATCGAAGAGGAATTGCGTAAGATCAAGGTAGAAGTAGGAGTTTATCTACCTAGCAATCCGGATGGAATCGTCGTCGGAATAGATCGCAAGTCAGGAAAACCATTGCAAAGCCATGCAAAGGCACCATACATGGCCACATTCAGGATTCAGAAGACCAAGGCAATTGAAGGTGCCCCAAAGACGAAAGACCCGCCTGAAAACGAGAAAGAACATAAAGAACATAACCAAGAGACATACGAGGTTTGGCAATCAGCTATTTTCAAGGTCGGAGATGATTGTCGACAGGATGTTCTGGCACTGCAATTAATAGCAGCATTCAGGAATGTATTCAACTCCGTCGGTCTGGATGTGTGGGTATTTCCATACCGAGTCACAGCTACTGCGCCTGGATGTGGTGTAATTGATGTCTTGCCGAACTCAATTTCGCGCGACATGCTTGGTCGTGAAGCAGTCAATGGACTCTACGATTACTTTGTTTCGAAATATGGCGGAGAAGAATCCACTAGATTCCAAGAGGCGCGGACGAACTTTGTGAAGAGTATGGCATCGTACTCCGTCATCTCGTACCTGTTGCAGTTCAAGGATCGACACAATGGCAACATCATGATTGACGACGCGGGCCACATCATTCACATCGATTTTGGATTTTGCTTTGACATTGCACCAGGAGGCGTACGTTTTGAGAGAGCTCCTTTCAAATTAACTTCCGAGATGGTGGCAGTTATGGGAGGCGGGCCGCATCTCACTGGCAGCAATGCCAATGGCATAAGCAACGGTGCTGTCAGTAGCAATGCCGGTGGCAGTGGCAGCACATCTTCATCGATCAACGCTCCTACTCTACGTATACCCGGAACACATTCCCACGACCCAATGAGCACGCAACCATTTCAATGGTTTGAATCACTCGCAGTCAAAGCCTTCCTCGCATCCCGCCCCCACGCCACGAAATTCATTCAAATAGTCACAATGATGATCGACAGTGGCTTACCATGCTTCAAACCGGACACGCTGAAAAATTTCCGCGACCGTTTTGTCCTCGACAAGACCGAACGAGAGGCTGCGGATTATATGCGCGAGTTGACTCGGAAGAGTTATCTCAGTTTCTCGACTAAGGGTTACGATCAGTTCCAGTTGATGACTAACGGTATTCCTTACTAGTGGAGTCATTCGAAGCGGAGGAGGGCATGGAATGCTATTTCAATTATTATTGTTATTGCTGACTTGTTTGTTGGGTCTTTTAGAGTGTGCTGTATGTATATATTTATAATTATGATCATAATCACCTTACCTAGGTATAAACTTCAAGTGGTACAATGAGTACCACTGTAGCTGATTAGTGTAAAAATAAAAACGACTTAAATTGTTTCATGTCAAGATATATCCGCTAGGTATATGGAAAATTGATGTGTCTCTTCGGTTGGGGTTACAAAAGCATGACATCAAGTCAGCTAACCCAGTCCCATTTGAATTTGATTGATAAAGACACAAAAAGAGAGAGAGAAAAGAAGAAAAGGGTGGTTGTGCAATATCATGTTGAGTTTCAATTTGTTGAAAGTTATACAAATTTGGAATACCAAGACAAGAAGAAGAAAGTTGCAAAAGATTTGAAACCATAAAACTCCTAGTTCCTCGGTTATTCGTATTGGAAGCGTTGAAAAAAACACAGAAAGCCGACGCATGTACGAGATCCATGCCCATTTTTTGTAGCTACCAAACAAGATGGTGACGGCCAGTTCTCCAGGTCCCCTTCGGGTGACAATGACTTCATAGGGTGTGAAGTTTGTTCATAAGTCTTCTGCTTTGGGAGCATCAGAAATCCAGAGCTTGCGGCGACTCCCTAGCTAGTCTCACTGCCATATTCGCGGTTCATGGGCGGATAGACAAAACCAAACACACCTTTTAAGAATGCAAGTCGATTTTCATCTAGACGCCAGCATTTTCGATGAACGCGGAACCCGCCACCATCATAGAAACCGGTTGTTGAAGATGAGTAAAGTGTGAAATGACTTTCTCGAGTAACAAATCTGCTACCTCTCTGATATACGATGGCTTATGGGTAATGTATCATCAACGTATGCAAAATCTTCATATGGTTAGATCAAGCATCAAAGTTTGTAGGATATTTAATCCATAAAATCAGCTCGAAGTATCTTCTCCTGGAAGAAATCTGGCTTTTTCTGTCTCGATTCCTTGGGCATTTCCCGGGTTGGCTGCTCCATGATAGCAATGGAAGCAGCACGTTGATGATAGGCTTGCGAGTGATTGATATCATTTTGATTCATCAATGGTTGTGGTTGCGCAGAGGCGGGAAAGGAGCCTCCATGGGAAGGAGCCCGCTCGGCCCTGGTCCTGAGGGCTGCGGACCAGTTGAAACCCTCTCCTAGAGGTCGCCATAACCTGTCAGATCTCTCGTTCTTAAGATTATTTGAGCCTGTACCTGCAGCAGCGGAGGAAGATGAAGACAAAGAAGAAAAAGAAGAAGGGTTGTCTCTGGTGTACGCGGAGCTGGTCGACGATGCAGTGTGATAGCTCGTCGCCAAAGGAGATGATCCAGAAGAGGGATATCTACCATTTGCAGTACCATTTCCTCCTCGAACATCCCGTAGTGCCTGGGCACCAAACGAGACACGTCTCGCAAACGGAGACGTCGGGTTATTTCCAGGGGAATTATCACTGTCATCGATGGCATCCTCAAAGCTCTCTGAGCTTGAGACACTTTCACGACGGCCTGCAATGCTGCCAAACGGCGAGGGCTGTGTTGGGGAGCCAGAGAGGCCTAGCGTAGTGATTGACATCCGTCGTCGGTTTGACTGGGCATTGGATGCGGCAGCCGTGGTGATGGGGTTAGGAAAAGAAGAATTGCCTGTCGCGCTACTCATGTTGGCACTGTTCGGTTTCGAGAAGATGTCACTTAAAGATGGGCGACGTTGGGGTGGCGAGTTTGATGTTGGTGAATGGGTTCGATCAGCAGACATAACGGGAGCAACGGTCCTTGAGTATTCGGAATGAATGCAGTTAAAAAGGAAAGAGAAGGAATATTTAGTCTCGGTACGGAGCAGCACGTGAGCAAGCTTTGATAGGATTCGGCTCGAGAATCATACGATACGACGTTTCAGGCCATTTCGGGGTGACGTCAAGTGACGATCGATCAGAGAGCACCTAACTGCGTTGATAAGAAGGTAAATTAGTAAAGACAAGTCGTCAGGTCGAGCCACAAGAACACACAATAGAGATGAAGCAAGGTGAATATAAACGACGAGCGACAGACTTTGGTTTGGAGAGAGATCAGTAACTCGGTTAGCAGTGCTGGGGGGCGACCTATTGCATGCTCTCTCTCCAAAGGAGCATTTAGCTAGTCTGGGTATGGGGAGAAGTAAGTCTAAGTAGCAAAAGGGAAGGATGGACCACTGGGTGGAGCATTGAGGACTGCGGAGATCGACCAAGTATGAGTCTCGAGAAAGATAGATACATACCATGCGGCTTGCCTCTGTCTTGGATGGTTTTGGTTGTGCTGGTATGGTTGACGCTGGAGCGTGAAGAGAGAAAAGAATAGGGAGAGGAAAAGAGAAAGAGAAGGAGGAGGAGGAAGCTTCCTTCCTGTGGGCATGATTGACCTGTAGGGAAGGCACAAAGGCGGGGGAACAGCAAGGCGGGCCCCGGATGGGGAAGGAAGGAGAGCCAGCCAATGAGCACCGTGGGTGGCATGAGCGCTATTGGGGGCTACCGGAGTCCGTAGCAATTGATCACCGCTAGCTATATGCACATCTCCAAGCTTGCTTGCAACATACCTGGATGCCCTGTTCGGGAGCCTGCATGCATTTGTAACACCACAGCAGCAAGGAGCAAGCATAGTCAGAATGCAGGGCACCAATTATTCAGCACCAACCAAGTCGATAATGAATCTAACTACTTCGAAGTCAGTTGAGAATCAAATTGACATTCTATAAGCAGTTAGCCTCATAGCAAACGCAGCCGGTGGCGCTACATCGTAATGGGTTAGCGACTACCGCAAAAGGAAAATTATGGGGTACCCCGTAGCCGCAATAGGTTAGCCGTGAGCTGCTCGATTGAGATTGAAACCCTGTGTATAGAAATGATACGATTATATTATATATATATATAGCATTGTCTATATATTGATATCCCCTAGGTACATAGCACATAAGTGTTGCACAGGTCAAATAGCAATTTACCGGTTCTCTGCAGTATACCCTGCGGAACGTTACTGTGCGCCCATCAATAAAGTTGGTCGATGACGTTGAATCCATCAAGGACAAATTTTTGGTTTTCGACAGTTGGATAGTGATAGCAGCGAATGGTCATCAGCTGAAGAATAGAGATATATTATGATGATGCGCCAACCCCGCACTGCTAGCCCGGACGGATGTCGCACATCGTTGTTTCCCATGGAATACTAGACCCTTTGCAGCCAGCTTTGGTGTGGTGGGCTGTTCTGGTGATCAATATGGCGCTTGTTTGGGAGTCTATTGGCTGCTGGTGTCTCTCATTCTCGTTGCTACTGTATGCTGTCTCTCGGCGGGATCGGGGCCAGTATCCCATGTATATTATATACATATACATATATATATATATATTTTACTATATAGCCCAACACTCGTTCCCCGAAAGCATGTGACTCGCAAGGGCAAGGTTCATTACATGTGCTTCACATATGCCTGAAAGGCAATTGCTGCCTGAATGAAGCTCCGTCTACTTCCACCCGTGACACGGTCATCGTACATTGCACGTTGGATGAATGGAAGAAAATTTTCCAAAGGTTCTGCAAATACTTTCTTCTATAAAACCAGTACGCTCTATAACTTGCGAAGCAAAAGGGTATCTTTGCATCGAAACCAAAGACATGTACACTCGCCAAGCGATAGACCAAAGACTTCTATCTAGGCACACCCAAAAATTGCGGATTTGGAAATAGGGGGGAAGGGTAAAAAAACAAAAAGAGGGAAAAAAAAAAACGACAAGAAAAATTGATAATAAAGAAATGCTTGCTTGAATTGATAGAACCATGCTTTCGTATACCCTCCGTTTGCCCGTGTATGTGCCCCCCTATTTTTAACCTTCCAGAATCGACAAATAAAAGACAATATAAACGCAAACAAATCATAAAAGCGTGTTACAATATCAACATTCATAAGATCTTACCCGTTTCCCGATGATGCAAGTACAAAGAGACATGCTCTCTGTTTTTGGTGTTTTGCGTTGTAGCAGTAAAGGAAAACGATGTGAAGCACAGCTTCGCTCTTTCCCCGCCGAATTCCTTCTTCCTTCTCGACTTCCGCTCAACGAACGACTCCGCGATGAAAACCTCTTCTCTCATTTTCTAGAAATGATCCAACCCCTTGAAGAATATATCAATAAGGCCGCTGAAAACTGGATATCACGTTGGATGGGACATGAAAGAGCTGAGTCAGCTTCCTCCCTACGCTGGGCTCGATCTCAGTGCCATCGCGAGCAATCTTGACCTCGCGATTGGAATTCCAAGGGTTGCGCAGCCCTCGCGTCCGATAGAAGGGAACTCGCTCGGTCGACATCCATTCGATCCGAAAAGGCTTTCCGAATGTCTGACCCCCAGAATTGGCGTCTTCTCCACCTAACTCCGCGGTGCTTCTTTCGCTCCTAGCAGTATCGTCGTCCACCTCGTCTTCACCGTTTTCCTCGTTTTCCTCGTTTTCGCTATCGTCCTCCTTACTATCACCGTCATCCTCAGACGAATCCGCCTCCCAAAATATGGTCCCCCGTGCCGAGTCATCGATAATCCGTCCCTTTGGAGCCGTTGTCGTCGCCTCAGTAGACATCACATCAAGATCGTCTGCTTCCGCCGAAGGATTCTCTGGTCGTGGAGGAACTTCAAGAGCGAGAGTCTCATCATCGGCGATGGCAGAGGCCATTCGGGCATAGCCAAAATATTCTCCAGATTTATTGGCTGAGAATATCAAGTACACATTGTCCGCAGACTTTTATCCGTGGAATAGGAAGAGAGCACACAATCCGTCAGGCAAGAATGTTCACACAAGATACATATCCAGGGATTTTTCTTACCTCGTACGCTTGATTCAAAGCAGCTTCATTGTGAGTCTGTGTTGCCCAGATACCACTCCTGCGACTTAATTCCAGATCCTCCACTGTGAGGCTCTTGACGATGAAAAACCTCTCGGGAACTCTTGACGGCCGATGAGCGTGGCCTGCATGCGGCTCTTCTACAAGTTTTGTCGCCATATCCTCATCCTCGCTTGGAGCTTGTCCTTCGTCACCCGGCCGAGCTGATGGGGGGTTATTCTGACCCGAACCTGCACCTGCACCTCTACGTGACCGACACACCAATCTCACACCCTGAAAGTTCGAATCATGAAACCTCGCAACTGCTGCCGCACAGGCAGCTTCGGTTTTATAATTCACAAAGGCACAGTTACTCTTCGATATCAAAAACACACTCTCGATGTCGCTCGTTGCATCTCTGGAAAAGTGATCCTTGAGGTCAACGACGTTTGTCGATGGGGGAAGATTTCCTACCCACAAAGCGTGACCGGACTGTTTTGGCTTCCTTGGTGGCCCTCGCGGTGGTGTGTTAGATATGGTTACAAGTGGCAACCGTGCTGATACTGTTTTGAATTGATATATTTGTCAGCCAATACCCGGGAAGATGCGGACAGTGTGTATCTTTGATTTCCTCATGAGCAATTCACATACCTGAGACAACAGACGCCCGAGGCTGTTTCATGGACGACGACCCATCAACAATTGTTTGAGACACATCATAATGTGCTGGGCTTTTCCTCTTCTCTGACTCTTTCGTGTTGGAAGGCTGAAACTGCTGGGATCGGCGATATTCAGCATTCGTAAGATTTGGTTGTCCCTCCATTCGAATATTAACTGTTGCTTGCATTTCTCCATAACTTGGGCCATACGGGTTTTGTGTGAAGTATACGGTATTGAATGCAGATGACTGCGGGGGCATGGCGGCACCAATTTGATGATTATGGGAGCCATGGTATGGCGAGTAGCCTAATTGAAGCTGCGACTGTTGCTGTATGTATGGATTGTGATACGGCGGCGAGTAGGGCGGGTTATACATCGTGCCCCCGGAGGCATTTTGATTGAGATACGGCATCTGATGAACCGGGTATATAATCCCTTGCGGTTGATGTGTATGGATAAATTGCTGGTGTACGTTCTGTTGAGAGAAAGGTCGTGCGGAAGCCTGGTAACAAGGCAATGCAGAAGTCATGTCAGCCATGTTAAGTGCCGTTCGTAACGCTCTATGACTCCCAGGTCCAGGATATCCATGCGGTGCTGATCGACGCTCAGAATGTGGTCGAGTGGCTATATGTGAAGATTCTAGCGGCTGGGTGGGTGGTTTGATGAGCGGCTTTCTCGAATCCGGAGAAGAATGATCTGAACAATTGCGTTAGCGAAGATTGTGTCTATCTTCAAGGTGGGCGTTTCAAGGAATGAACGAACCTGAAGGGCCCTGTCCTGATGGCATGATATCCTCGGTCACCCCATCTTTAGAGGCCTGAGAGTGGTCTGGAGGAACATCGACATCACCCATGGAGATGACGGGCGTGTGAATGGTGCACGAAACGATATATTAATTGTTCTCTTGTCCAGAGGCAGCAAACTGAAGCGCCTCGACTCATTCCCTTGTTAGCCCCTCTACTCAGCTTGATCGAAAAAGTCAAGGATACAGCGCAACGATAGGCCGGCGAATATCAGCTTACCTATTTAAACAACCAAGATAACCCAAATACCAATTGTCGTTATAACGCGTGAATCCGCTTGGAACTTATTCGTCTGCAAGAGATTCTTTGAATGTTAGCGGAGTATATGACACAGAGAAGAGATGGCAACCAAAATTGAAATAATATGCCAAGCTTCCCAAACAATCGGCACTGCCAACAACGTTATACTTTTCAACAGAGAGGGTGAAGAGATACAGGCATTGACAGGGGGAAGCATATATTTCTTGCAACTTTGACTTAAATAGACGGAAAAGGTGAAACCTTTTCCACCTATCCGGAGTCAAGCGTTGAGAACTTCGCAGCTGCTTAAGGGAAATTTTTTCCGCTTCAAAATTATAAAGCGGATGAGATATCCGAGAAGCAGTATGGCGGGTCAGCGGAGCGGGGTGATGAAAGTTGTTTAGATGAACAAGCTGCAGTGTGGAAGACTCGTGGGCTTCAAGTAGCAAGTGCTTGATTTCAGACCAATCTTTCTCCGAGGTGCGATAATCCAAGATGCAACAGTGAAGTACCTGGCGCTTTCAGACAAGGCGGCAATAGGAGAACGCTCAGACGGGAAGTGTGCATAACAGACGAGGGTTGAGAGGGTTTATCAAGATGTTTGCGAATGTTTGGCCCAATCATATGTGGGAAAGCAGAGCAGTATTATTACAAGGGGAAAGGGGTAAAAAACATGATTCTTGAAGCACAAATTGGGCAGCCACGGGAGTCAGCCACCTTACCTGCCGGTTCACGAAGGAGTTCTGGCCAGTCCTTTTTTAGCCACGCCGTCCGAATGGCGCTGGGCCTTGTGTGTGCTTCTGAACTTGCGGATGTTTAAATCAGGTCCGAGTTCTGACGTGCTAGCGCTCTGATCGTCTCGCTTATATAGATGAGATGAGCTCCTATTAAATCTCTTTTTATTTACCTTGTTCGCCTTCCGTTCGAACCTGAGATAAGGTAATGGAATGGAACAAGTGGAGGGAAATGGAAAAAAGACCTTGCCAAATGCTTACCTTTTTTGCCGCTTCTAAGGTACACGAAAGATATGCATAGCTTTGCACGAATTGTGGAGGCGAGGGACACACTTGTCGTGCTCGAACAAGCCGTTTCCTATTTTCAGAGCATGAGGCTTAGCCTTTTTATCACCGACAACAGACTAAGTGGAGAAGAGGTCTGTAACAAGCGCGACCCAGCAATAAGATAGACCCGCAAGTGTCCTACTGTGTTTCTTTTCAAATACCGGAGTAATAAGATCTTGATGTGCTGTGAGATCGGCACTAAGCAAAGGAAAGTCACCTACCAGGATTGTTTTGGATGATGGTAGGGCTGAGTTTTGTTTGCTTCTATCTGATAATATACCAGATATTCCGGAATTGAACCTAGAGAGAACAACTATCTCTATTTATTGTTAGCTGAATAAAACAAAGCATATGTCATTCTACTCGATGGTTTTTGCATCACGTGCAAGGATTGATTGCCTGGTGGAGAGAGCGCGTGGTCTCTTGATCCATCATCGTCTTTCACACAGATGGAATTGTACTAATACTGTGGCACGTTAAGGCTTTGGGGCTGGACCTGGATACTGCCGGATGTGCTTTGCCAGAGAAGGGGGAGTTGAGATCCACCGGGATACCCATGCTCACTTACCATGCGTTGAACGGAGTTGAAGTGGTGGCGGTGGCTATCGTTGTTTTCATAAAGCAGCTAAGTTATAGATGATTAGCGTGTACGACAAGCTAGCCACTCACTCCTATGAGTTGGAGGATGATCGCTTAATATATCCGGGGGACTTCGAATGAATATGGGCGCCACAGACTAGATCAACTTGGTAAGGAGTGGGTGGCTAGTGGAGACGGAGATATATATACCGTCTGGGATAAGAGTAGGTATGTCGTTGGCTTCTTCTAGAATCATCTAAAAGGGAAACCCATCGAATGAAGTTTCCTCATAATATCGCAGTGAGAGGATGATACATTTTCAGAGAAAAGCCGAAATGAGGACGCAGATATGGCTGGCTTTGAAAACGAAAGGAAAAGGAAAGGGGAAAGGGAAAAAATAAAAAAAAACGAAAATGAAAAAAGGCGTGAACCTTTTGGACGAGGGTTATGTCGAAGAATTGGAGAAGATTCTACAAACCCGTTAAAAACGAAAGAAGTACGTAGTAATTGGAGTATGCCACCACGAACTACAAATAGAAAGGCACAGTTACAAGAGAATACGGGGAAAAGACCAAATGACCTCCGATACCCGCAGACGGGCTGTTTTCGAAATCCAATTACCTTGGGGGTCTCTTTTCAGCACAAATTCTCGATTACCATTGAATGTTGATGGTGGATTAGTTACTCAGTACCTGACAGCTTACTGGGTCTCTCGTACCAGATCTGCCGAGCTATGCTGGCTGCGTTAACGGGTGGGTAATGTTGCACGCCCGCAATCAATCCTACGCTCTGTGTCTCCGTCTCTCCAACCCTCTGTAGGAATAAAATCAATAAACAAAAGCTAGAATATACGGTACAATCAACATAATTATGTTATAATTCCTACTCTGATTTATTGTAATGATTCTACACAGAAAACCCGTGTGTTGGTATGCCGCAAAAAGTCGTATGGAACCCGAGTGAAACGGATGGTATTTTAATTACGCAAGTGGCTACCTAGTTGCGTACGCCTCAAAAGGTTCTAACAATGGGGTTGGAGAGCATCAGTACCCAACTCTTGAAGCCATTGCCATCTCTGTAACTCCATGTGCCGATCTTGCGTGGCTTCTTCCCTCCTTCCCCCCTTCTCTATTTTCTGTACGGAGATTTCCTGGACCGGACGTGATGCGATTCTTCAAGGCGCTTCTCACTAGTCAATGTACGCCGTCTTATATACGGGTGTATTTTTTCAATGCTCATTTCACATTTTTTTGCCACCTCGAATGGACACAGAGGCCCAACCTGAAACAAGGTAGCCAACTAGTCAAAGCCACCGCCAAACCACTACCCCAATCGAGCAAGTATCCTAATTATTATGACAGTCACGACATGGTGTGCTAAGTATAGCGCACGTATGTTATCATAATTCATAATTTACACGTCGGCTGACTCTGCCATGCGATGTGATTGGCGGGGACTGCTTCTAGTACGAAGAACATTGTACATGTACATACACGCAGCGTACGCAAACGCACAACTGGTCGCTTATCCCAAACAGAGATTCCCGCCAATCAAAATGGGCTTGACCAGGGTGGCAAAAAGGAGCTGTCAGCATCCACGAGTCAACGCAGATGTGTTCCAAGCGAGTCGAGCCGAATCCAACGGGTAAACGGGAAAGGGGGGAAGCTATATCAACGGGTATGTACATTACCACTAGGCCGGAAAGCTTGGATCATCTTGCTTCTAGCTCGTTCTAGTACCCGCCGTGGATCTCGCTAGGACAAAAGTGGACTTTCTGACGGGCCAAAAACCCCACCGGCCTCGGTAAATCCTGTCGCTAACAGATTGGTTATGGTCCCATTGGTCGGATCCCTCCAAATCGAGAGAAAGTGAACAGGACAGTGATGTCTGTGGCGGCTGGTCGCATATGAAGCCCACCATGTGCTTCCCCATACTGCATACGCCATATTACAGATACTCTGTCAGTCTGAACATGCGTACGTACTCTGTCAGTACGGAAATGACTAAATCTTACCGAGCAGAATCATTCATTGTCTTGAAGAGTAAATCGCCCTTCTGGACATAGTTTCAATACCCACTTTCCATTTCAGGTGGATAAAACCATTGTGTAAGTGGATCGTGGACTAACATGCGGAAAATTTATCCTACCAAAAATTACGGAGCCGTACGTCGACTCCCACCGGTATGAGATACCAGCCAATCGTTTCATACACGCTTTCCCGCTTCTGGCATGATCTGTATCAGACAGTTCATCACATTGATCACATTGTTAGTCACTGCTATATCTTATATTAAGCCACATTAATGCACATAATCATGGCAGTGGTCAAATGTACACCCTCTAAGCCGATCAAGTGTCACCTTGATGCAACAACGGGGCGATCATATAACAATACGAACCGCTGGTGCCGCTGTCATTGGCGCATTGATCTCAAACTTTGGTGCCTGAGTAATGGGATGACCATCAGACTCGTCAAAACTGTCCCCGTGGTGGACATGGATCTGCATACGTATGTATATACTATGTACTATATATATATAGTGTGGCAAAAAAGCACCTGCAGCCTCTTTCGCTATGTTGTCCATTTAAAGTACAACCGGGGACCCATCTCTCCACTCTCAGATTTTCTTCCTTTTAGATTTCTCTGCTTTAGTGATTCGACTCACACGACCTCGACAAGAGTTTCCTTTTCGCATTGACCTTTTACCGGGTGATGTATACTTTGCGTGCTCATCTCTGACCGAATGCATTCGGTCCCCTCTCCAGTTATTATGATCTGATCACCTGTGCAGGTGCAAAGATCTCTCGCCACCGATATCCTCTGCCGATTATAGACAACAACAATTTCTTTCCCTTCTTCTTTTGATGCATTTGTGGCTCAGCCAAAAATTGATTATCTTCCGAGGCTGTGCTTACCTGCGGATAGTCCGATCTGTCTGAAAAGAGAGTGATAACCTACCTTATCTGTATTCAAAGATGCGGATCGTTGATATCAGGCAATGTGGGAACAGACAAAAATGGTAAATATTGCAGTCCTTATTTCTTTTAAAGCATTGCTTTTACCACATCAGCTGCATGTATGGATAAATATACGTAACATTCCGTCTACCTAGAAAATCATTACGCGTGCAGATGCTTAGCTGAGCTTTAAAAAAAGAAAAACTAACTCAACGTGTGACCCCGTCAGCTAACCTAACAAACAAAAAAGAGAAGATCAAACGACGTTGAATTAGAGGTTAACAAATAGCCTATTACAACGAGTTGACCCAATAACAAACCACAACCAAGAAGCACCCTTCTTTGTATACTCCCGAGACCCGCAACGGAGGCGAGGGGAGAGCGAAAAGGCCGCAGCGATCAACAAATAGGAAGGCCGGATTGTCCGTAATATTAGCCCAATAGCGGAACTATAGGATTATTAATCAATCCTAGCACCGTATAAACGCCACATTGACGTACGAGGCGCTAATAAGTGGAACCAGTCCGTCTTTTCCCCCCGGGGGCTTACGGGCGAACCCCACTCAGGTAAAATGATTAAGTTTGATACCAAAAGCTTCATATAGACGAGTCATTGCACGCATAATAATTACATGTGTGGCTTAACGGGTTGGCTGACCTGGTGCGCCCCCAAAACCAATCAATTTAAATGTATTCCTATCTCTTCTCTCTCTCTCTTTTCTTTTTTTTTTCTGTACTCCGTAATTATTATGTATTCCAGAAGACTCTCCGATCTTGCTTCTGTTTTCTTCTGCCGTTGGACGAATGGAAATCTCGGCAGTTCGCTCGGTCCCTATGATTGACCCCTCACCCGGACTGAAATTGGACAGTGGACACACAAGTATTCGTGGCGCAAAATGTGGCTTTCATCATGGGTATCCAGTAAATGCATAATCATTTCATAATCTGCTTGCATGACTATTGCGAATAAAGTGGGTTCAACTGAATGGGTAGGTGTACAGTTCTAAATGGTATAGATAAGGCAGAGAAATCTTAAATTCTGCCACTGCCACCTGAATACCAATATAAATAATTATACAATGTATACGTGGACTCCGTGGAGCAGCAAAGAACGCGAGGCTCCTTCCTATACATCCCATGCATAACATGAAAGGAAGAGAAGGAAAAATCGCACTGCGTAGTGCCCAACCACTAAGCCATCCAGCCAACTCACCTTTTCAATTGATCTGTGGATGTGATGGTGGCTTAATCGATTATGAAATGTTATGCTATGCTGTGCTCGTGTAAGACTGCCCTGTCTCTAGCTTGAAGGGTCTATGCACAGCCAACTCTATGCAATCGTATCATACCACTGGGGGAGCTCGGATACGTACACGTGTATTTTATCTAGATAGCTAATACGACGATAACGAAATGGAAGGAATTTTTTGCCACTGGCGACTGATTTTTCGCTTCTCTAGACTCGAGCATGGGTTATATGTGTGTAGTACAGCACTGAATGGCCAATCTGTGTACCAATCGAGGTATGCAACCTGATAGAAGACTACAATGGATGAATGATGAATTAATAGATCAATACATTATGGTACTAAGACCAAAGAGTATGGAGTTGGACTTAACTATTTAACAGGAGAAAAGTAACATGAAAGGAAAACGGGGAGAAAATAAAAACTATAAAGAATTATTTACCATCTTTCATTTCGAAAGAAGAAAGAGGGGAAGAGGAATTCATCACGCGCACAAAAAGGGACGGTCGTTTCATACATAGGCATGTGGATGGAAGGGAGAGAAAAAAAAAAAAAAGAAAAAAAAAAACAAAAAACAAAAAAAGAAAACAAAAAAAGAAAGGGCAAAACAAAGGTATCATGCATTACATAACGTGAGTTCGTTTCAAGTGACTCTTTCTCCCCCGTTTTTCCATATGGACTCAAGGCAATTACTTATTGTCAACTCCTAGAGATGCAACTTTGCCTGCAAACCTCGCGCCAGCACTGCCCCTTTTCTGTAATTTCTCTCGCTCCCTACTGTCCAACGGAGCGAGTGCATGAGCTGCGGAATGCGTTTCTGACCCGGAACCACCGCGTATAAGAGGAAGTGAAGTGAGTGTATCGGAAATTGACTTTCCACCAGGAGTGTTGGAGGTGGTAGAGGTGGCAGCAGTTGACGTTGATGATGGGAAGGAACTGGATAGGACCGCGGTGCGTTGGTGAATGTATAGTTGTGCCGCTGGAGATAGAATTATGGGTGCTGGTTGTTGTGGAATTTCGGCGCCGTTCTGCACAAGAAGCTCGGCAATTGGGAAAGGAATCGCTTTTGGAGGTGCTTGTTTGGCGGAGAATCCTGCTGAGGTAGACCCCGGAGTAGCTGGATCCGCGGCAGCGAGGGCTAGAAAGACGGCGTGCGTGTTTCGTGATCGATCCGTGACATTGACACTGGCTCGCAATGCTATCCCATAAAGAACCCCTTGGATATCGTTTTTCTTGATCGATGCCAATAACGTCTCGTTTGGCGTCGTGTAATGTGACCGCCCTGCAGTTAATGGCTGCACAAACGCGTGCTCGCTGTACTTAGCAGTAATGAATTTCAATCGCTGTTCACGGGATGATTGCGGTTGTGGCTTTTGAGATGGATCCAGGGTCGCTTCCCAGACCATATTACTGACTCGATTTCCAATCTGCAGCAGTATCTCTACGATGTCATTTGAAAACGAATTGACGTCTAATGTCAACGATCGAATCTTCGAAATATGAGTTCCCAAGGAACGGTGAATGCCGCTACATTCAATGCATAAAACAATTCCGAGATTGATCGAAACCCATTCAACCTTGAGTGTAGACTCGCAGTCGGCGCACCACCTGTTCCCTTGGTCGGCATCCCGTATTGTTTGCAGTAGTTTGGCCGGATTTTCCTCGTAGCTATGACTTTCACCGCGCATGTAGCTTGGCCGTGCGCCTACAGTAGTCCGTCGGTTGACACTGTTCACGTTTGTTGATGAGGCTGAAGGTGTAGAATGCTGTCCAGAATAAGAAGAACTTTTACCAGTCAGAATCGACCCAATGTCACGCCGAAGGGAACCGCTCTCGCTATGTGTTGGTGGCGGCGGCATGGACGGCGGCGGACTGCGGCCTTCCACCGCACTCTGCAAAGCATTGTTGATGGCCGTGATCCAATTACTCATGTCTTCTTCTGAAGTCGCCTGGTAGATCCGCTTGTAATGGGGAGTAATGACCTCAAAACAGAAACGCCTTTCCGCATTTCTAGCTTCCCGAACAGAGGCCATGCGGAGATCTATGGGTTCTATGTGTAGATCCAATCGTTGCTTCCAGTTGCTATATTCAGAAAGTTTGCCTTGATCTAGCACGATCCAAAACCTGTGTGGAGTACGCAGTGATTAGTAAATGACCAAAAGGCATGATCAGACTTTTATGACTTACTTGTGCCATGCTTGTTTGTTGATACCTTTGGGATCAATATGCGAGCCCGGCCGTGACAGAGCCCAAAGCAAGCCCTCCTTTCTTTGGGGACCTGCTAATTTATCAGAACCAGTTACCATCAAGCTCTCTCGTTCTTCAAGATCGCGAATTCCTTTGAAGCGATTCGTTCCACTAGTTGAACTTGCATTGGACAGGGAGCTCGTCAAGTTGGTTGAACCAGGGGCTTGATTTGTTTGCGAGGAGATCGATGAGGTATTGCTATGCACGCTTCTAAGCTGTGAGCCTGTGCTGTCTGCCCTATTGAGTTCTGATTCGGAGTTGTGCCCCTGATTCGAAGCACCAATCGCCGCTGGTGTATTCACATTTTCTGGCTCCACATAGGTTTTGGTGCTTTTCTCCAGGGCCCTGCGTTTCTCTTCTCTCTCGGTACGTTGGAATTGAAATTCTTTATCAGCCTGGTCTACTTCCCGTACCAGAGCCTCAAATTGCGGAAGCATGTTCTCCACCTTTCTTGCGGTAGACAAGAAGTTCTTCGCTTGTGTCTCTGCATATTTTGTGAGATGAGAGAGAACTTCTTGTTCCTTTCGGCCACCGTGAAGATCTTGCATAAAAGACGAGTAGTCAAATCGCTTCAACTCAAAATTCCGCCGTTTTGATTGGTACTTAGAATCGCTCTCAGCACGCTTTTTTTCTTTAAGAGAGTCCTGACGTTGTCCTAAATACCGACCAACGTAGGCATAATAGTCCCTGCTCTCCTCATCAAAGTCCTTTTTCTTAGACTCCGCCTGTTTGATATCATTTTGATACAGCCTAGACAACGGCTCAATGACCAGTTTCTGAAGCTGAAGCGTGTTAACCTGCTCATAGACAAGAATCTCTCGTGCAATATTTTCAAAATAATGCTCCATGGCTGGCTGGATTGCGTTGGCATTGGATGTTGAAGCATCGTCTAGGGCTGAAATAAATGCATTCACGGCATCATTACATGCAATTTGAGCTACATTAGCCGCCTCTGCTTTCTTGAGAACCTTCTTGATTTTCGTACGCATGTTGCCTGTTTTCTGCTCAAGGGCCTTTATCGTAGCACGAAAGAGGGGGCCATCTTCTACGGCGCTCATATCATCGCCTGGACGCGAAGGCAGGTCGACTTTAATTGGAACCGGGATGCCAACTGCCGGAGTTGTGGTCGCTACATTTGGATTCGCACTCGGAATCACTGTTTCCCCGGGACTCACTGGGCGCCCTGGCACTCCAAAGGGCCCTTCTGTATCGCTTAAATGTGATAGGAAAGATTGAGACGACGGGATGCGGTTGCGGGCAGGAACGCCGAGATCCAAAGTCGGTGGCGAAGCTAACAGCGGGCTGGAGCCAGGCCGCGATGTATTCTGAACCCAAAATGTGAGGTTTGCCAGTGTGTTCAGGCGGTTGGTTCTCTGGTCATAGTCGAGAAAGCTGCAACTGTTGCGCCAGCCACCACCTTTATCTTCAACTGCCTTGGGTGGCTTCCACTTCCAAGTCCAGTCAAACTGAACCGAGGGGCTTCCGTTCGTCGTATAATCGCCCACAAGCTGCACATTCGAGTTGTTCTGCAGGTTGGGGTTCGCGTGGAATTCCCTCGTGATGAGATTGTCCAGCTCTTTGATATTGGACGCATGCGCAAAGGTCAGGCCGGTAAGAGAGGTGTCTGTCGTCTCAGGCAAAGATGTCGCTACTCCGTTCACAGTGGAGTTGACGACATGGCCCGATTGTGTTTGTCGCACGATAAAGGTAAACTTGAAATACAGCTCATCGTCGTTGGTTAATCGAAGGAGGAAGGAAGGGCTCGCGGTGGACTGAGGAGGGTCGGGATCCTAGGAGGCATCAAGAACAACTCATGTTAGTCTTGACTCCTTTTCCTTTTTCCTTTTAAACTAAGGACTTGACTTACCTGGACATATTCAATAGGGCTGTCATCACCCACATCACGAGTGGCTATGTAGCGTGCTGCTGGCAAGGCATTTGGTGAGAGTTGCAGTAGAACCCGATTTTGTGAGTTGACCACAGTTATGCTCGCAATCCCAACTAGATAGATAGCAAACAGGGTGGGTTAATATAAAGAATGAAAGACACCAAGGAGCCAAGCAACAGAACAACAAGCAGCTCACATTTATTCTGGTCTTTAAAGAACAGGGAGCCTGAATCATCAATCCTGCTTGCAACAGTCCCCATTTTTGCTAGACTGCTAATCGCAGATTCCCTCGCTTGAATGGCAGGTGATTGAATTAAGCATGGAGCATTCAGATATCGAGCGCAGGTTGTAGGGGCTGTTGTTGTTGTTGTTGTTGTTGTTGTTGTCAAGAGAGCGGCGCGCACACTTCCAGTGTGATCTAGAAATTAGAGGCTGGGCTCATTTCAAGACTGTGCTGTTTGCGATAAAAGAGCAAAGAAGGGCGGTAGCTGGAGAAAGCACAAAATACTGTGGCAAGATAGCTTGTGGTGGTGTTTATTGTGTGGTAGGTGGTTTCAATAAAAAAAAGAAGTCAAGCCGTTGCTGTTGTTGTTGTTGTCTCATAGACAGCACAACACATGACGGAAGGGTGTCTGCTTGCGATGACTGACCCAGACTGAAAGGGGATTTACAAAGAGTTGCTGTGCAGGACAGAGTGAAAGTGAGTGCGAGGTTATTGGTGGTGGTGAGGAGGTTCCTCCGGCAAGCAAGTATAGCAGCGTGGCTGGAGATTGCTAAGAGCAAGTGGGGGGACTGGCTCCATACTCCATTTAGCCAAGTTGCCGCCAGATCTCCCTCTCCCCCCTCCTCTCTCTCTCTCTCTCTCTCTCTCTCTCAGTCAGACTCTCTTCTCTCTGAGTCAAATGGCTGCTGTTTCAGTTGCCTGCATCAGAGGAATATACTATATTCAGCTGCCTATTCTAGTGCGTCTACTCTGGTCTCATTTCGCCCACCGCGTCTGCATCCTTACGACTCGGGATCAGACGACAGCTCGCTCACTAGTAGATCTCTTTGCTTAGTGCGTTTCACCCAGGACAGGCAATCCAACGAATTCGCCCGGACGACTGGCTCTTATCAAATCGAAAAGCCACAGGACAAAAGAAAGTGGAAATCGCATGCTATTCGTAATTGCTTACATGGCTTCGTCACTCGTTGATCGGACATCAGAGTCATGACTTCGTATCAAGCAAAATGAGTACAGAAATAACCACACAAAAAGCGGGGTATACATATGCAGGAAGAAAAACAGATTCGAATATTAGAAAAGAAACTCGCTCGCTTCATGCAGTCGGATTATGCCTCAGTTGAGAGGATGTTATTCGGCGCGTCTCCCTGCGATGCGCCGTTTTGAACGGGCTTTTCATTTGATATCTCACTGCTGTGACCTTCACCAGTTCCGTCTGTTGCTCCAATCCACTTCTGCAGTTTGCCTTTGACGTCCTTGATATCGTGAAGGTTCTCCGACAGCCCGTGGGACGTGTGCTGCTGCTGCTGCTGCTCTTTAGCGCCATTAAGCTCTCCAGCACGCTCAAGCAGCTCTTCTTCATCGGAGCTAGACAGCGATGACTCTGAAGTATTAGAGGCCTGCTGCGTGTAAAAGACCTGGCCTCGAGTACGCTGTCTTTCGGCTCTCCGGCGATCTTTCAGGCGTTTCATCCGCTCCTCATCTTTCTGGCAGTCAAGCGTTGTGATGTGGAGACCCGGGAAGTTGGCAGACAAGAATTCGCGAAGTAGCGGGAGTTTGGCAGCGTTTGGCCGATACGTGCCACTATCGTTGTCGATGATCAGTTCGTAGGCAGAACAGTCGTTGTTGTTTTCATCTTGACATGCAATCTGCTCGAGGATTTCCGGCTCTGCTTCTCGACCCACATCGTGACTCGGGCGGCTGTCCAGTGTCGACATAGATAGTCGCTGTCGATGCTGTCTTTTCCTGGGACGTACGAAGAATTCGCCCGAAAATGCAATATAAATCGACACATCGCTATGCATAGTATGTTTACTCAACAGATCGATGCCGAACTCTTTCCCGGTCTCTGTAAAACGAAGCTGGCTGTCGAGTGTAATGACGTATGTGAAAATACGGCCACCTCGACCATGGTCAACAAAATCCAAAAAGAGCTCGGTTAGCTCGGTACACGGAGCAGAGAAATTCCCGTTGATGGTACTGCGGTCGTAGTTGTAGATCCGCGCATGCTGATGATGTAAAGCACGATTGAGAATACGCCCTCGCAAGGTATGCGAAGTGAACATGCCTGCCACAAATGGTCGAAACTCCACATATCGGTGATATAAGTCATCGGGAACTGGGCCCCTGAGCTGGATTTCGATTGCTTGGAAGCTAAGAAAACATTTAGTCCTAAATCCCGGAGCTCATCTCTTGTCAGAGATCAAAGAGCACTTACTTGTAATGGCTCATTTTTCCACTTGCGTTTCTCCCATCTCCCCCTGAATCAGACGTCTTCAAAAGCCTCCCAATCAATGGCGAGAAATGCTTGAACCAATACACCGGACCCAACGTATATATGGGGAGGCCATTCTCAGCAGGCGTCCGTCCCAAACACTCAACACTGATATAAATCTCGGCGTCCAATTCCCGTGAAAAGCCAGAGCAGGTAGCCACAACAGTCCTAACCACATACGCCCGTTTGCTCCCGGCGCGCTTCTTCAGACGATAAGAGCTCTCCTTGATCCCTAGCCAATTCCCGCTTATGTGATCAACCACGACATGCGCGTTTCCCAGCCGGTCATCATGATCCGCCGGATCCTCGTCAAAGACGCGGCATTTGAGATGAAATCCTGATTCGGGCACGTTTGCGACTATCCATTCCGCATCCCATTCCGGATTGACGTTCTTCCTCACCGTTGGCGTGCGGAAAGTGATATTGGAGTCCTGCTTGTGTCGTTTAGGCAGGTTGGTCTTCAACTCAGCGAGGACGTAGGGATCGGACGAGAACGTGCTGAAGTCGGCGATGGGCAGATTGCGGGCTCGATGAAATGTGAATTTCAGCGTGTAGCCGGGAGGCACCCGCGCGAACGGAGTATCGTCGAAACCGCCCGGCGGCGCACTTGCCTCCGCAGCAACGGTAGGCCTGTCGTGCTCTTCGCCGTGTTGTCTGTGGTGTTTCAATTCCCGCGCTTTTTCATGTGCCTTCTCCGCCTTGTCCACGAATTTTGGGCCATAGATCTCGGTCATGTGCAGCCGTTGCACCTCTAGAGTGATGTCGGCGCCCATTATTAATATGGTTACTCGTATATAAACCCTGCTTCAAGCAGGTATCTGGCGGTAGCAAGCCAGAAGCAGCGATAAGGCAAGTATAAAGGCTGGCGGGACTCGGCTTCTGCGACACGAGGAGATCTGGCGGTTAATATTCATATCAATAGTTAACTACTTCATACAAGACCTCCAAGAACAGGCCAAGCCTTGGCAGCATGACGATACCGAAGAACATGAGAACAGAAGAAAACAGACTGGATGCAAGAGAAAACACAAGTTTTACTCCAAACAGAACGTCGTCCTGATCTAATTTTAACTGGCAGCGCAAGTGACGTAGCGCCCTGCCGATTGGCCAATCAAGACCTGCCGATCTGTTAAGGTGCGACGATCTGTGGCCGAGTAGAAAGTAGTTTGATTATTCAATGCTCCTACTACCAAGGATAATGTCTCTTGGGCCTTGGCCGGTGACACGATTGTGTGACTGGCTGACGTGTGCATTTTGAGCGAGTAAAAGCATGAGACAAATTAACTAATCAAACTGACATTCTGACGAATAAGACTCTGTGCCTAAAATAGAACGCCGCCTCACCCGCTCCGCCTCAAGGTGCTGCTACTACAATCTGTGGCCGTGCTAGTACTATCTCCCAGGCTGCCGCATTACGATCCGCGGAACAGGAATTGCATGTCTTCGGGAGTCAGCTTCTCGAGTGCTTCTCCCTGGTCTTTATTGATCGTGCCGTTGATCATGTTGGCCTTTTTCTCCTGAAGAAGCACCATACGAGATTCGACTGAGTCCTCGATACAGAGTCGTGTGATCACACACGGACGCCGTTGCCCAATACGATGGCATCTATCGGCACTCTGCCATTCTGCTGCGGGATTCCACCATCTGAAAAAGAGTACCGCTGGTTAGCGCACTGCGCACTGAAATATGCCTTGAAGGGAGAGCATTTGGAGTAGGTGGCATTGAGTACTTACGGATCGACGATGAAAACCCGAGACGCCTCTGTGAGATTCAAGGCTACTCCCCCAGCCTTGAGAGAAACCAAAAACACTTCGACGTCGACATTCTTCATAAAGTGATCAATGGAGTTCTGGCGCTGTGCTGGAGTCATGCTGCCGTCGAGCATCACTGTGTTGAATCCTGCCCGGCGCAGTCGCCATTCCACCAATTGTAGCATGGACGTAAACTGGGAAAAGACGATGGACTTGTGCGTCTGCTTTTGGCTTCGTAGTTTGTATAAATCATACACGAGCATCTCAATCTTCGTTGACGACGTCCAATCTTCCATTCGGATGCGGTTAATAATCGAATTCTTTTTGACCACGTCTTCCTCTTGCTCTATCTCAGGCTGCTCGAAATCAATTGACAAAGGTATGTGGCATCTGGGACAATCAACGATGGTGTCCGCATCGAAAGACCGCATATAGTCTTTCGCACACTGTCGACAAAACTCGTGATGGCAGCGGGATCGAATGGGGCTTTCGGCAGGCTCGTCGCAAATGTTGCAGACTAGCACATTCTGCCCACCTTCCGCATGCTTCTTGAGAATAAGATCCGGATGGTTTGCCACCTGCCTCATCTGCATGATCAATCCAAAGATGTTGGCGTAATTGTTAAGCATAACACCACGGCTAACATAAGTGTCGAACTGCCGGGTAGAGTTGGTCATGATACTGCTGGAGAAATCGCGCTCAATCTCACCAAAGAACTCATTGTGTATAATGATCCTGCGATTTTCCCAAAGTATGAGCTTCCAGTTTCATTATGAGAAAACTTTAGAACAGTACTTACCGCTTGGGTGGAAGCTCCATAGATGCGGTGTGATCTCTTTTGATTCGTCGAAGCATGATTCGATCCGTGATGAGACGGAGCTTTTGCAACGCATCCTTACGTGCTTGCCCGCTACTCTCCGTAACTTTGAAATGTCAGAATGAATTACGGAATGCTCCATGGAAATTTTACTTACTTGGATTAAGAATCTCCTGATTGAAGACGGAAACGTGACTAAATCCACTATGTAATAAGTGAGTTACTTGCCCTACCGAGTGCACGGTGAAAAGAGGAGTTTACCTGTGTCTGCAATGGGTACATTTCTTCTCGGCATCCTGAGACCAGTGAAGCTCCTGGCACTTGCACATCTTGCAGAAATAGCAAGCGAATGGGCGTACTTCAAGGAAACGAAGAAGGGAGAAGAACTCTCCGATACGGTTTTGGACTGGAGTTCCGGATAGACACCATTTGTAAGTAGATTTCAAGGCAAAGCACGCACGGGCAACACTCGTTGTACGTTGCTACATGATATCAGTATACAGTCGATCGGCGGATAATGCAGAATAGTTACCTTGATGCTGTGCGCTTCGTCAAGTATCAAGCGGTGGAAATCTATCGAATGAATCACGCCTGCAAGCCCAGTTAACAGCCCATTTTTTAAGTGATTTCGAGAGAGACATACTATTCTCTTTGACAAGGCCATCTTCTCGCTGCCATCCCTTCTGTTCCTTACGATACATCGATTCCAAACCCGAATCTGAAATTTTGTCAGCCAAACAAGTGGGACATCATGAAGATATGATGGCCTACATGAAATCATGATAACGTCGTAACTTAAAAGATCTTTTCTTTTTAGATGCTTTATTTTGGGACTTGAATTATGGTGAACGAGTACTTTGAGCTTGCCATCGGTGTATTCCTGTGACTAGTCAGGCTTTTCTCTCTCTCCTTTGTTTTTTTTTTTTTTTTTTTTGAAAAAATAAAGGGAATATAAGTACGAACCTTGATTTCAGACTGCCACTGCATCAAAGCCACCGGAGGCACAACAACTAGGGACGGCTTTCCCACAGGGTAGTCTGACATGAGTAGCGAGACAGCTTGAATGGTCTTGCCCATTCCCATCTCGTCACCCAATAAACCCCCCTTGTACTGAGTCTGTTCCTGTCTCATCATCCAATTAAGCCCTTCAAGCTGGAAAGACTTAAGCGTGCGGCTGATGCCTGTTGGCTGCGCTGCTTGCACAGGTATGATGGGCGGCGTATCTTCCAAGTCTTTCCACATGCTGATAATCGATGGATGCTGTTTCTCAAGTTTTCTACGCTCTCTTGCAGCCTGCTCTATCGTCAGCACTATAACTAAATTTATCCTATATCATATAATTCTTCCCTACCCGTGGTCCCATTGGATAAGGAAGTGGCGGGGCAGGTTCTCTCGCACTTCGCCACGTTCTTGCTCTCGTAGCTCGTGCTCGCCCGCGTGTTGTCTTGGAGGTCCTGGGTCGTCGGCTCGTAGGCGGCCTAAACTCCGGTATGGCATTCTCTTCTATTCTAGGCAATTCCGCTTCCACTTCGCTTACATTGTCGTCAGACGAATACACATAATCCTCTTCATCACTTGTGTCCTCTAGCTTATTGGCAAAAGTCGAGTCAGCATCCAACATAGGAATATCGTCGCCATCAATCAACTGAGAGCTCGGTCGTGAACGTAAGGAACGTCGTAGTTTTGGCCCACGAGGTACGTGACCATGATCAGAAGACTCATTCCAGTAAGGCGAGAGTTCGTCTTCCGAATCTTGGATAGTCTGGTCGTCGTCTCGTTCGGTAAACGTCCGTTGACGCTTGGCTTCAATTCCTCCATATTCTTCAAGTTGTAACTCACGAGCCAGTGCGGCATCGGATGATTCAGTTGAGATATTACCATTGGCCATTTGAGAGGCACTTCTCTTCCGCTTGGTTGACGTAGATGAAGGAAGTGCAAAAGTGCTCGAACGAAGCTGCTGAGCCCGAGCTGACGCACTTATTCTCGTTTTTGGTTGTCGGCGACTGTGATCGGATTCAGGTGGAGTGACGGCCACACTTGTGGCTGGAGTATCGTCCTGGACACTCTCATCTCGTGAGGTCGAGCCGACAGACGGCGGGGAAAGCGACGACGCCTGAGAGATAGACTCCTTCATTTTGGTAGGAATCGCAACCTCGATCATGACTGAAGAAGTCCTTGTAGCGCGACCAGTTGGTTTCAAAGTCGTCGGTTCAGAGTTGGGTGTTGTCTGCACAGCGTCGTCCTTTAGGCTGCGTGAGAGCCGGGCAGAGCGGCGTCTCACCGGTAAAGTATTCGGAATCGGATTCGTGAGGGCAGGGTCTGCGGTGAAAGCCGTCAGTCGCTGGGCACATTGAATCCATTGTCGCAGCCTTACCATCGGATGACAGGTTACCAGGCGTACCTGGCACCTTTGCGAACACCCGGCGTGCCATATCGAGGCAAATACGGATGCGAGACTAAGTGAGCCTTCCCTCAGTGTCTGAATCCTCAGAATCCGTGTTCTGCTCTCGTCAGAAGCCTTGAAGGCAGCGAGCCAGAAAGGACTGAAAACGCTGGACGAAAGATTATCGTCTTAAGCGTAACGGGAGCATCTGATTGGCTGGAGTTCGTCGAATGCCGTATTAGCGGGTGGGCCGCGGTTGCCTGGAAAGCAAAATTCCCTTATCCCCTTATCCACCGATAACAACGGAAGGAAGGCGCGATCAAGACCGATCGGAAGGGCGCCTCAAAGAAAAAAAAAAGGAAAAAGAAAAGAGGAGAAAAAAAAAACCCCCCATCGGCACCTCCGCGAAAAGGAAATCCTACTGGCCAGACCTCGTACTCCCTTCAAGAACGTCTCACTTCCTGCTGCTTCTACTTTCCCTCTTCTTGAGGCTGATGATGCCAACGACCCCCACTCGGCCGATTCTCGCGTTAAGTGGAACGCGAAAGTGTCACGAGTTCCAGTGACCTTCCCATTGAGGGTAAAGTGGCAGACAGCCTGACTGACAAGTCTTTGCATTTCATCTTCACAAACAAACAGCATTTCGTGGACCGAGTCGTCAAGATGTGAGTATAGCACCATTTCATCCTTGATATTTGTTGTTTTCATTTGTCTGAGACTCAGATGCTGATTTCGAGACATACACAGGTCTACCCGGCGGCAGACTGGCAATCAGATTAGGGGGCCGTAAGTCTATCTATTACTATGCCATTGTCACCACTGCTGGTGAATACATATCTGACTCTTACAGACACTCGGCCCTCACCGACTTTCTGGCGGTAAGCACCAACTTATATTGTAATTCACTTTGGAGCTTATCTTCTGTTCGCTACAAACAGCGGCTAGATGAGCATCATAGTGGCTAAATACTAATTATTGCCGCCGTGCCAGTCGAACAACATTTCTGCTGCCCAGATCCAAAATGATTATCAGCGGCGCGTGCGTGAAGCCGAGCGTCAAGCCGAACGTGAGCAGAGAGAAAGTGAAGTCGCCAACGAAGAATATGATGACGAGGATACCGGCGAATCGCCCGAAGAAAGAAAGAAACGCAAGCGAAAGGAGGCTGCTACTCTAGCCAAAATCAAGCAGAGTAAAGAGTTCGCTCGTCGCAAAGCTCGCCGCGACGAGGGAGAAGACGATGATGATATTGCACGGGATATGATGTGCCAAAAGTCAAAGCCATTGCCCGGACAGTTAGAGAACTGTGAGCTATGCGAGAAAAGATTCATCGTCACACCGTACAGCAAAACTGGTCCCAATGGTGGCCTTCTCTGTGCGAAATGTTCCAAAGACTTGGCGAATGACGAGAAGAAAGCAAAGCCGAAAAAGGCTGGGCGCAAAAGTGGTCGTCGCCAGAACCAAAGCAAGCTACTCGATGGCATAGCTCAACAAGGGGCTCCTAGTCTGGTAGAATTGTGTACCAAGGTGGGCTACTATTTTCTATCTTGTAGTACTTAATAACTAACTATCTTTTCTAGAAAGTTGCCGATAATATTAACGATGTCGAGGAGTTTGGCGACGTGCCCCCGCAGCTTGTTCATCGACTCAGTCAGATCTTATCGAAGAGGCGTGTTCTCACTCCTCGTACGCTTCAGCTGTTTCTCCGCCCGGACTTTGATTCTATTAACATCTACGACTGCGGTAGTAAGTCTTGGCTGCAATCTAATCTGTGTGCGTCGCCCAACTAATCTGCAATCCAGAACTAGAAACGGACGATTTTGAGAAAATCTTTGCCTTCATGCCGTTGCTGCAGAATGTCAATCTTCGCTTCGCTGGTCAAATGAAGGATAGGGTTCTAGAATATATGATGGAACGCCAAGTCAAGCTCAAATATCTGCAGCTTGACGCTGCTAATCTTGTCTCGGATGGTTGCTGGAGACAACTTTTCATTAGGCTTGGCCCCCAGCTTGAAGGCTTGAGACTATCAAATCTTGATTGCTCCCTAGACGACGAGACTGTCGAGATTATGAGCAGACACTGTCTGAATCTTCGTCGCTTGAAACTCAAACAATGCTGGAAAATTGGAGACAAAGCAATTGCTGCCATGGCCGACTTGTCGAATCTTGAACATCTCTCTCTCGATTTCCTGCAAGAAATTAAACCGACACACGTGGTCAATCTTGTGGAGAAACTTGGGCCTCAACTGCGCACTCTTTCTTTGCATGGTCTCCACGACGCCGATGATCAGTTGCTTGATGCAATTCATAGGCACTGCTCTCAGCTCGAGAAGCTACGGCTGTCTGATAATGCCGTCTGTACAGACAAAGGGTACGTCAGCCTGTTCTCAGGGTGGTCGAACCGACCTTTGAAATTCGTCGACCTATCATCTACGCGGGATGCCGACAACTCCAATCCAGACGGGCCACAAGATCCTGTAGGACTAGCGACGAACGGCTTCCTGGCCTTGATGGAACACTCGGGTTCTAGGCTGGAGAAACTGAACATCAGCTCCTGCCGTCATATATCGCGTGATGCCTTTGAAAAGGTGTTCAGTGATGGCCGGGCGTACCCCGCCCTAAAGGAGTTGGACATATCATTTCAGACGGTTGTGGACGATTTCCTGGTAGCATCGATCTTCAAATGCTGCCCATCCTTGCAGAAACTGATTGCATTTGCATGCTTTAATGTGAATAACGTGCGAGTCCCAGCAGGAGTGGCACTGATTGGTGGTCTCCGGGCACAAGATTCCATCGTCGTTGAGGGGACGGACTACTGAACTGTAAGCATTTCAGAGACTCTTCTTTTTTTTGGCTTTTCCTGAGGCGAGCGAACAAGCTCGTATCCATGATACCATGCTAGTCAGACAATTTAAGTTTGACCAATTCAAATTTAACTAAACTATTTCTATATAACCATGGCTCCAGTAAAATTTGCGTAGCCCGGAATGTGAAAATTTCTCTCACTGAACATTCCGTACAACACCCAACCCTGTTTTGTGTGTATGTGTGTGTGTGTGGAATGTAACTAGGCAATGGCCACTGGGAGCGAAATCTAAATCATAAAAAATATATTCATAGGCGACAGTACTATACGAAATGTGTAGGGAGAATAGCTTCGAACCATCAGGATCCAGCATCGAGATATACTCTGGCCTAGCACTGGTGGAGAACAAGCTATATCGCTATCGGATCGTCGTGGCATCTAAATTAGTGTATGAAGCGAAGCTAGGACTATTAGTGAGGCTACCTCGTTAGCCTACAACATGCGTTTCCTGACATATGATCTCTGCACCACGTACTACGAATCGCAACACGTACGTAACGATAGATCAAGAACTACTCCGTACGCGTGTATATTTATTTATACAAAAGCGAGACCGATGACGCTCGATCTGTCTCGCTGCATGGCGCTAACAGGCGCTTGTCTCTCACATTCCCGCGCTAGCTCGTTCGGGCCTAGCGTTGATATCATCTGTCGATTTCGATTTCATCCCTTTTTTTGCCCTTTTTTTTACCCTTTTTTTTTTTTTTTTTTTCTTAGAGTTCCACCGCGGAGCGAGCTAGTTGACAGGATCTGTAGCTCTGCATGCTTACGTATCCGTAGGCATAACTCGCTAACTATACATAAGTTAGTTACGGGCACATGGATAAAGCGACATCCATCATAACTTGTATGGCACTAGTTAGTCTTAGAACCCCTGAATCAGCCAGCAGCAGCAGAAGAGACTGCTCTAGCCTCCAGTCAGCCGCATCCAATCAGCGATGCCATCGCCACCACAGCCTCCAAATGCGTCGATGCTCCGTCCGCCGTCGTTTTACATGCTCTTCTCTGATCATCCATTTGGCATTTCGGCCCTGAGGAAACATCGTAGAAGACAGTGCAAATAATCGTCATATTGACAGGGATAACCGCGTAGAACAGAAAACAGCCAGCTGTTGTCGGCACATTGCTGCTGAAAGCCCAAGTGAGACCTGGAGTGGATGGCCTGGCCGGAAACGGGGGTAAACAACGAGCCTCTTGCCCGCCCGCCAGCAGCATACCGGAGCTGCCACAACATCTCACGAAAACAGAGTCCTCTCTCTCTCTCTTCTCGCCTTCTCGTCCTCATCCTGCACTGAAGCGACGCTCATTTTGTGTGTTTTATTTTATAATTTTTGTTCTCTTCTGTCAATTTTAATAGTCTCGTCTCGTCTTTGTATACCATCACCCAGCCAGGCACACAGCCTTCCGATCCAACTACGCTGCGGTCTGTGACTGCCGTCTGTTCCATCCCTCTCTCTTTCTCTCACGCGCACACACACACATCCACACACACACACACACATCCACACGTCGACGCCTCAGACGAACTTTTCGCCTTTCTTTCTAATCCCCTAACCGACCACTTGAACTTCGGTTCGTTTTGCTGTTGACGCCCGCGACGGAAAGTCGGCCTTTGTCTGGGCGGGTGACTGTGTCAGCATCCACAACCAGCTTTACGGAGATACCTTCTCGATGCCGATCAAGCTACCCAAGGGCTTCACCCGGCGGAAGTCCTCTGGAAATGTTCTCGATGAGATAGAACAGGCTCCCGAGTCGTCGTTTCGGGTAATTGAGCGCTCTGATGGGCCCACCAAGGCGAAGACATTTGGTCCCAATGAGGGTCGCTACTATCGCCCAGCAACTGCGGAATCCGACAATATATTTGCCGGCATAGAAAAGCCTCTTCCTCATAACAGGTGCGTTGGGAAAAACAACAACAACACATGACTTACGTGGCTTAGTGCTTGGCTGACAGTTGACATTAGAGGGAGCGGGGGGACTCACAACTCGACCTCGACTACAGGTTTATACGACAGCTCGTCTTCCGCCCGTTATAGTTCATCTTCAACCCTCCCTTCGTCTACCGACGTGCCTATACATAATGACCACCTCACTAGAGGAATTCATGACCTGCCCGTGCCCCCGGTGCCAGAATCCCCATTGTTCTCTCTGCGTGCTGCCGGCCGTACCTTTTCTTTTGGAACAAGATCGCAGCGTGCATCAACTCCGTTATCTCAGCAGCCACAACAGCCGTCCAGTGCGTCTTCATCGGCCGCCAGGGACCGAGCCATGACTGCAAGTTCAGCGAGCACGGCCATTCCCCCGAAGTTGCTGGATTCGGACCTGAGTCTAGGTGCGAATAACGACGACAATTTTAGTAATATGTTTGAAAACTTTGGCAAACGGAAAAGTGCTATTCTCATGGAATCTGCGAGTTCGGTAACGCATCCTAATTCCCCCCCCCCCCAAAGTGCCCGGCATTTGTATGGTTCCTCGAGCAAACTAACGTTGTACATATAGGGCGATGTTAAACCGAAAGCTTACCCTACTTCTGTCAACAACGAACGAGGCGTCCAATTGGCCCCGATTATTATAGATCGGAAGCAACCAGTCGAACCATCGCCTTATTCGTGGGATAGCCAGACCTCATCTAACTCACTAATTCACGAGAAGAAAGAAAGTGATGCGACACCTCGCGGAAAGACGGAAACTTTGGCACCCTCTCGTTCCATTCTTTCTTCAAAACCTACATCACCCATGTCACCTGCTAGCGAAAACTCTACGACATCATTTATCCCTCAAGGTGACGACGCTGAAATCGTCCGTCAATCTATACTTCTATCTTCGAACAAAAACCTTCAGCCCTCTACGTCCGGTAGCCCAAATCCAAATACAGATGAAGAAACCCCGTTATTCGAGAATGACGAGATTATGTCTAGCGCACATCTGGCCACACAATACGAGCAACGACTGTCTTCAACGCCCACTGTTCAGAATAAAGTTATGACGCCAGCTCAATTTGAACATTACCGCCAGCAGAGAGAACTAATACGGAGACTCAGCGACGCATCTCACAGTGATACCTCGGAGGCAGAAAATGAATATGAAGAAGACGAAGACGAGGTGGAGAAGAGCCGAGAGGTAGCACGACAACGGCGCAAGCAAGAGGCTCATTTGTCCGTCTACCGGCAGCAGATGATGAAAGTCATCGGACAGCAAGTCCCTGCTACTACTTCTTCCGACTCTCAATCCCTTCGGCCAGTATCTGAACGAGGCAGTATCAGCACGCCGAATCTTCTTGCACGCACGTCAACACCTGGTTTGCCATCAATTAAACAGGACGTTGGAAAGAATAGTGATGGCGAGGATGATGAGAATGTGCCGCTTGGAATACTAGCTGCACATGGATTTCCCAACAAAAACCGACCACCTACTCGGCTGAATGTGTCCAGCTCAAATCCAAACCTTCGGGTATCATACTCTGCCTCATCCGGCCTGGCCGCTAACGATCAGGGATCAGATCCTCGAAACAGCTTACCTGTGTTTGCACGTAATTTACCTCGGGACCCTTACTTCGGCGCCAGCATTGTCAACGCTCCAAATAGGGAAAGTTTGGCTATGAGTGGTGGTGCTCCCGCATTCGCAAACTCGCCGTCTTCGACTTCCTTGCCACCTGGAGGTCTGGTTGGTGTCATTGCGAACGAGGAACGAGCACGGGCGATGCGAAGAGGAAGTCCCAATGCCCAAGCCTCGGGAATCGCACGTCCATACTCTGTGGCCAACATGTCCCAGATGAATGTTGCAGGTCCTTGGAACATGCCAGGAGCTGCACCTCAATTCCAACCACCTCCAGTGATGACGCCAGGAGAACAGGCACAGATCCAAATCTCTCAGCAAATGACAGAGATCATGCAGGTCCAGGTACAGATGATGCAGCAAATGATGCAAATGCAGGGTCTTTCGGGCGGACAACAGCCGCAGATGAACCCCAACTTATTGCCAGTTCCTAGTCAACCTACCATGACAGGCGCGCGCCCGCTATCAACAGCCTCATCGTTCCATTTGCCCTCTAACCCACCTCAGGTCGATCAGCGAACTCTAAGCATGTTGGATCCCAACATGTCTCGGTGGAATCTTAACAATCGGCCTGCCTCGATACACCCAGATGCGATGGGTCGCCCCATGACGCCTCAAGGATATACTCCCTCCATAGCTCCTTCAGAACGCAGCAATGTTGGATTAGCCTCCCGGTATCGGCCCGTTTCAGTCGTCGGGCAAGATTCACAAATACCTCGTACATCGACGCTTACGTCGACCTTGAAACCATGGAATGAGAACCAACGCCCCAAGTCGGCTGCTATGCCGAGTCATTCACAGCTTGCAAACCGCAAGTCTACATCATTAGCTACGGTGACGGTTCGCTCTATAAGCGCCCCGAGCCAAGAGACCCTCACGGGAAAACAAAATCCCAAAGGAGCTGCTGCCTTGGACGATGATGACGATGATGAGGGCTGGGCAGATATGATGAAGAACCGCGAGAAGAAGAAGAGCAACTGGAAGTTGAAAAAAGAGACATCAGCTTTAGGAGACCTCTTGCACATGGTTCGCTAAGAAGCGACTGTGACGACAACGAGAAGTTTTGAAGCCCAGCTAATCCTAAATTTCTTCCACCTCTTTCGTTGCTTAATTTGAACCACGTTTTCACGGGGTTATACTTTTTTTTCCTTTCTTTTTCATCATCTTCTACTCTCTTCTTTAAGAGAGTCCCAACTTCAGCCGTTTTCTCTATGTATTTTCTATAAAGAACTATCCTACCGTCGCACCGCTATACTTGTTTTGGAGGAGTCGAACAAACCACTCGGGTCATGGGCAGTATTTTCACGAATCGAAGCATTTTTTTTTCTTATCCAGTTTTTCATCAGTTTACAGCATAATGAGAGAGAAAGGAAGAACGAGAAAAAAACAAGGAACGCATATTAGATCTACGATGTACAGGACCCCCGACATCTGTTTTCTTTTGTTTTCCCGCTTCTCTTGTGCCTTCATCATATTTTCCTTCGGTTTTGTTGATTATTTTCTAGAATTTGGATTCTGTCCTCTATATAATTTTGAATCATTAGTGTTCTTATGCAAAGCTTTACAGACAGTTGCGTTTTTTTATACTGCATCTAACGTGCTAGGATTGAGAGTGTCGTTAGAAAAATGACAAATTATAAATGGAGCAAATAGGGTTTATCTGGTTAATTATTTGAAAGCATGTTCGTATGCTCTGTGTATGCCACTGTATGGAGAAGTTGCAGAGAACCGGTTGTGATTGGCCGAGACCCATGGCCAGTCACGTGCCGATACGTCCCGATATTCTTTTCAGACGGAGCCATCATCGCCAATCATCTCTCTTTCTCTGCGTGACAGTATCTGACTCAGTTATATTTCTAACCATCTACTTGAATTTCACACATCTTGGAGAGACAAGAAAAGAAAACGCTTCAGATTTTGGATTATATACTTGACATTTTTTATTTGATATATACCTTTCTTTGCTTGGAACATCTCTTTGAGAGCAAATACCTAATTGGATATCTCGTCGATATGAACGCTCCAGACAGGTGGGTTTGTTTGGTGCCTTCCTGCCCTGCAAGTTTCCTACAAAAGAAGGAAGTTACCGGCGACTTTCTACTCCTCCTTCCAACTCCATGTCTCTCGCCTTCTTTTCTCCCTCCTTCATCTTCATAAAGTGTCCCCTCCATCATCCCTATTCAACCTGATACTTGTCATCAAACCCTGTTGTGTCTTCTTCCACAGACTCTCTCCCTCCCCCTTTTAATACCCTCCATTTGGATGCAATCAAGAGACATGCCTTGGACGCAGGACGGGGAAAATGCCGGTGCTGCATGGAATGGAACGCGGTATCGCGACGCTTCTGCTCCTCCTCCTGATGGGAACGTGCCACAGAAGTATTGATTCCTTATATCTTCGTGGACTTGAGAGTCATTCATCACTGTTATCGTGTTCCTCGACTGTGAAGCTCTTTTATGTATGGGGAAGCTGACACTAGCGAAATTAGGACCGAGTCCTTCATATTGGGCGAAAGTGAGAAGAAGATAGAGGAAAAGGCAGATACACGTACGTCTTCTCCTAGTACCCATCCTGCGAGATCTGGTGGGCTCTGACATTCTATTTGTAGGAACTCCATCTACATCAATATTTACTATCAACAGAGAAGATCATACAATGGGCAACCTTCTCCACAACCGTCTTTTACAAAACCGCCATGTCACGTTTGCTGCGTACAAAGTATGTCGCTCCAGGAACTATTCTCAATCTAATCCTGACTGGAGCTTGGATGAGTGAGAACTATAACTAACTGTCGGAAAAAAAAAATCAAAGGTGCCACATCCCCTCGTTCACAAGGTTGAGCTTCGCGTACAAACAGATGGCGAGATAACGCCCAAGGATGCTCTCCTAGCTGCCTGCCATGACACTGTCAGGGACCTTGGTACGCTGTCACGTGAATTCACCAAGGAGTTCGAGCTTCGAAAGATGGTCGGGGCTTCTCAGCATCAGAATGGAACTCAAGACGGTATTTGAATGGAGATGATCAAATCCCGGCGGTCGGTCCGCAGTTCTTTCTTCATATAGCATACAACAACATTTTTTTACTTAGGCGTTCTATCTACTTCATCATTTGTCTTCTGTCTTCGGGATTCTTAAATCGGGTCATATTTTTTGGTTGTTATTATGATGGATCATGATCTTTATCTGCTGATATCAAATCGTCACGGTATACGACTGTTGTTAAAATGAAAGCTTGCTCGATCGCGCATTGAGCTTCATGCTTGAGCTTCCTCTTCTCACTTTCACAGACAAAGCTGTTAATTACTATGTAGGTAATATCTATTTATAGACGGATTGTTGCCATAAGAGCAAGTGTCGAACTGCCAAGCGTCCAAAATAGAGTAACATCTTTTAGAATTTTTCATAAATGTTTCCCCTGACAATATAAGAAATGTCCTATTAGATTCGCGCATAGCATGTTGAATTTTGACATGATGTCTTGATGCGTAAACCGGTTATGGCTAGCGCATAGTGTACCGTGGCTGCGCCGCTGCGTGGCTGCGACTCTCCCGCTCCGGCCGCTCCTCATGTCAACAACATCCAACCTCTCCACTCACTGCTTGCAAGCTCCATGATCTGTAGCATGCCAGCTGCTTTTCACTCGCTGGTGAGCTATACTGTCTGACTCTCGGTTCTTTCATTTCCATGTCGATAATATACTTGTAAATGTATTCGTCTTCGAACTCCTTTCTCGGCGGCGCAAACAGCGCTCGTCAGGGACAACCACAAGCATCACCTTTCGGACAGCCGCCACCGCAGCAGCAACTACAGCCAGGATTCGCTCAGCCTGGTCTCGCCGCCCAACAAACAGGGTTCCCTGGCACTCAACTCCAGCCTCAGTATACTGGATTTCCAGGTAGTGCTGCTGCTGCTGCCCCTCAACCAGGCTTCCAGTCCTACGGCCAACCGTCGCCTCAACCGCCGCAGTCGCATTTACAGCCGCAATTCACCGGTTTCCCGGCCCAGAACCAGCAGCTATCCGCCGCGCAACCACCACAAGTTCCGCAGCAGCAGCAGCAAGCTGCATTTCCCAATGCGTCGGCTGCTGTGCCATCGATCGCCGTGCACAAAACCTCGGCCCAGGTCGCGCAGTCCTTCCAAGATATCGATGGGGCCCGGCCCCCTTTGCCACCGAAAACTGGCTCGAGGATACCGAATATTAGGCTATCGTTTATCACGGCCCAGGATCAAGCTAAATTCGAGCAGTTGTTCAAAGCTGCTGCTGGAGATAGCCAGACATTGGATGGTTCGCGCCCCCCCCC